GACAGTGTCTTTAAAAACCCATGCTATATACTGTGATGTAATATTTTGTGTTCCAAAAATCCCACAAGTTTTTCCCAGGAAGTCAAGATTTAATGATTCACTCAAATGGTTTTAATCTTATTTCTGTTTCTTTGCTGTCTCTGTGTCTTCTAGACATCCCAAGTTCATGAAAAAGGACCAGATGGGTAGCTCCTTTCTGAGCTACCGTTTTAGAACTTTATTGGAGGATTTGAATGACCTGTTCTAACCAACTGGTCTGTGTTGGGTGAGGACTTATTTGGGAACTGAGGGAGGGAGAGGCACAATTTGTTTTATTATTATTATTATTATTCATTAAGAATGGGTCTCGTAAAGAGAAGCCTTTTCCTTGAGAGAAGCCTTCCCGCCAGCCTGGATCCAAAGCCGCATCAGTCCCAAATAAACACACAGGAGGCTGTATTAATTATGAAGCTGTTGGCCTTGCTTGTTTCTTACTGGCTAGCTCTGACTTAAGTAATTACCCCATAATTGTTAATCTAAGTATTTCTCTTACCAGAGAATAGTTCTGGGCTTCCTACCCCATGGCGTTACATCTTGAATCTCTGTGTTTTCTCCTTCCCAGAGTCCTCCTGGATTCCTAGTCCCACCTATCTAGATTCCTATTGGCACAACAGTGCTTTATTGACAAATAACAGGACTTCCCCAACAGGGTCTACTTAAGTGGGCTCTTAAGATTCTGCTAAAATTACCACTGACAAGTCATATTATATATTTAATCAATATCCCTTTTAATGACAAAACAAACAGAAAACCACAATAACATTTTCCATCTAGCCATAAGTGCCTATATTGCAGTTATTTTAGACTCCATCTAGATTATTCCATATACATGGGACATTCAATTGTCTTCCCAGAGGACACCAGCCTCGTTCTTGAACCTCTGGCTCCGTGATATGGTGGCCTCAACCTCCTTTTCTGCCTCCTGGTTGTCTTGTGCCTTCAGCTCTCTACCCACTGGCTTCGGTGTTGATCTGTTTTCCTCTTGCCTAGAACTTTACTAGCTTCCCATTTCCCAAGAGATGAACTTGTTTCTTCTTGAAGCGCTCATGCTTGTGAATCCCCGGTTAGTGCTCAGCTCTGAGCTGATCTCACAGCATGCAGAAATGGTAAACAGTTCTTATTACTGCTTCACTGACCTGGCAAGCTCTTCCAGTTCACCGCGTGGACCATGTTGTGCTCACTTTCTATGTGAGGAAGGTTTCCTGACTGTGCTCACATAGTGATTCTGGCGTGCATGAATGAATGGCCACTAGTTCAGTCCTTCTGTTAGCATGCTTAATTTGAATTAGCAGACACAGGGAACCAATGGATGGCAACTCTTTATTTCCTCATGTCCCTCATTTCAGCTAATCAGCCCATTATATCACAGGCTCACCTTTCCTCCCAGTGTTACATACACCCATTTCTTCACCGAGTCTATAACCTGATCATCTTTTACAGTCCCCTCTCTGGTAAGATGCACAGAGTTAAAAGGCCCTTGTAGAAAGCATTCACAATAACTGGTTTGTCATACAACTTCTAAATTTTGTGATTCCTCATTTTACCTTTTATGGCTAACTTTGCTAAATTGATTTAAATGCTTTAGTTTACAGAGCTAAGTCTTTGTCTATGCCCCCAATCCTTCGAGGTTTTCTTAACACTCACTGGCATGTGGTGAGGCGAATGGGATCACTTTGGTGGTCCCTTGCTGCCCCACGTTGCACAGCGGAGGATGGGTCTGCGGGGTCCTCCGCAAAGAACCAGGCTACAAACATTTTTAGGGGGTGTGAATCATATGGTTGTTGTCAGAGACATTCCACTCTGCAGTTATAGCTCAGAAGCATCCACAACCAATAAGCAAGTACGTTAGTGCAGCTAGGTGCCACTAAATATTCATTTACAGAAACAAGCATGCCGGGATTAGGGGTTGTCAACTCCCCAAGTCGGTTTTTTGGAGATTTGTTTTGGTTTGAGAGGATTTGGTCAGACTCTGTTCTTGGACTGTTTCCATCGCACAATCCCGAGTGATGCTTCAAAGGCTTGTGTCATGCCACGCCCTGGGCTTTTGCCATAATCAGAAGCTGAGGGGGTGAGATTGTATAAAGCTTCGTGTGCCTCCATAATGACGCTCTTTGTTCAGCATATCAGGACTGGCATCCCTAGTGACCCGGAAACTTCTTGGTACTGCTCTGGCATAAAGAGTGAGAGCTTATAAGAGCTATTGGGATCTTGAGTGGGAGTACATTGTTAGGTAGTATCTCACAGTAATGATCCCCCAGTGACAGAGTCAGTGTAACCAGTGAAATTTAGAGCAGAAATACTCTCAGTATTAAAATTTTTGAATAAGGCATTTGGGAAATGGAACATTAGCCTGGAGGCCTTCACTGAGATTTCTTTCTGTGGTCATTGTATGGAATGTATGAACCCCTGGAAAGGTGTACGTTGGAAATTGAAAGTGAGGAAAAGTTAGTACAAAAAGCATGTTTATATGACTCCAACATGTAAAAACAATATGCACAAAGCCTGTTGTTCAGTATTTAGTGATTGTTTGCTGCATAACAGCTTAGGATGAACAAGTATTCTAACCATCAGGAAAATTCAGTGAGCAAAACCAAACTAACTGCTCTCATAGAGCCTGCACTCTTAAGTGAATTTGCATCTGGGGATCTAGGAGATATGGACAATGAAACGCTTGGAACTTTTTAATAAATAAGTTTATTTTAAACACACTTTTTCCTCCTTTATCTTGTTATTACTGGTTTTCTTAGGAAGATCATATTCTGATAATTTTCCTGAACCAAAATTGAGTGCTTACTGTGTACCAATACTACCAACATGCACTGGCTGGTTTTGTGTGTCAACTTGACACAAGCTAGAGCCATCAGAGAGGAAGGGGCCTCAGCTGAGGAAATGCCTCCATGAGATCCAGCTGTAAGGCATTTTCTCAATTATTGATTGAAGGGGAAGGCCCAGCCTATTGTGGGTGGGACCATCCCTGGGCTGGTAGTTCTCGATTCTATAAGAAAGCAGGCTAATCGAGCCTTAGGAAGTGAGTAGTACCCCTCTATGGCCTCTGCATCAGCTCCTGCCTCCAGGATCCTGCCCTGCTTGAGTTCTTGTCCTGACTTCCTTCCAGAGATGAACAGCAATGTTGAAGTATAAGCCAAATAAACCCTTTATTCCCCAACTTGCTATTTGTTCATGGTTTTTTGTCACAGCAATAGAAACTGACTAAGACACAGGGATACATAAAATCTAAACAAAACTTCTAAACATCCCCTCCCTCAAGGAGCTTCATTCTGTTAGGAAAGACAGAACACACAATTGAGTCAAATTTATAGCAGGACATTATGGCTCATGCCCTTAGTCCCAGTACTCTAGAGACAGAAGCAGGTAAGCTTCTGGCCTACAAAGTGAACTATAAGCCATCCTTACATAGTGAGACCTTGTTTCAAAAAAAAAACAAAACAAAGACAAAAACAACCAACCAAAAGAAAGGACAGAAGGGAGGGAGGAAGAGTGGGAGTGTGTCAGGAAGTCAAATTTATAGAGCATTAGGGGGCACCTCGGAGGCAGAAGTTAAGGAAGAACCTGAGATACGAAACGTTGGGAGAAGTAAAGATTTAGAATGGGAGGTCAAGAAAAACTCCTTACATAGATGCATTTTATTTTTATTTTATGTGTATGGGTGTTTTGCTTGTATGTATGTCTGTGCACTGTGTGCATGAATTATCTGTGGAGACCCTAGAAGAGGCCTGTGGATTTGGTGTGATGAACAGTTGTGAGCCATCATGTGTGTGCTGAGAAAGAACCCAGGTCCTCTGGAAGAGCAGCCAGTGCTCTTTAACCACTGACCCGTCTCTCCAGCCCTACGGGTGGCCTTGACTAAATGTTTAACGAAAATGAATGAATGGGCTAGCAGTGTGATGGCAGAGGAGGAAGTCGTTCCAGTTGAGCAGTCAGCAAGCTCAAAGTCTCAAGACCTGTAGTGTTCAAGAGACATCAAGAAAGCCGAGTGTAGCCGGGCGGTGGTGGCACACGCCTTTAATCCCAGCACACCGGAGGCAGAGGCAGGCGGATCTCTGTGAGTTCGAGACCAAGCCTGGTTTACAGAGCAAGTTCCAGGACAGCCTCCAAAACAATACAGAGAAACCCTGCCTCGGAAAAAAAACCAAATAAATAGATAAATAAATAAATACATAAATAAGCCGAGTGTGGTAGGCGAGGGAAAGAGTAATCAGGAATGAGATAGGTGCTCTGACAGAAGACTGAATCAAGCCTGGTCTCTCAAGTTGCCATGACAATGGGATATTGAATCCCATTCTGAGAAGACATTGAGGAGTTTTGAGCAAAGGAGAAAAATGGCCAAGTTCACTTTACAGTCATTCCTGTTGTCAAGAACACACAACAGATACAGGAGGCCTTGTAGGAGGCCATTTCTGTAATCTAGGTGAGGTGTCAAACCTCTCCAGATTGATGAGTCAGAGGGAAGGCAGGCACTTGGCAGGAACCAGTGCCCCACAGGGACTACCTGTCCCCGGATTGAGATTCCTCTGGAGCAGGGAACATTAATTTAGCCATTGATTGACCATTGTTGTCACATCAAAGAGAACCATGGTGTCAGATGCACAGTAGAAGTTTAGTGTTGGGTGGTTAACTATTGTGAAACCAAACAAAGCAAAAAATGTGAACAGTATTTGCTGCATAGCTGTCTCCTTTGACCAAACTGTCGTGTCAATGTTGTATACAGTCATCCCCTGCCACATTTTATTTATGAATTAGCATATTTGTAACATTTTAATATTCTAAGAATGCTTCTGATTCCCATGGTGTTCCTTAAATTAAAATGGCAGAATAATAATGATTCCGCTGAACGCTTTTCATCTCATACTTTTATGAAGTAAAAGTATTATTACTATGTTTTACTATTCTAAGGCTTAAGATTGATTATAACTGGAAAATGTTCATTTTTTATTTTTTAGGGAACAACTTAATTCTTTACTGGAGGCTTATAATGTTTTCTATGAAAACCAGAAAAATCTACATATTTTGTATGGACAGGTAAGCCCACAAAAGAAATACAACGACTTAATTCACAGGAAACAGATTCTATAAGCATGTGGCTGTATCAGGGTCAGCTGGAGTCTAGAACCTAGGGACTTGTGTGGTCTATAAGCAGGTAAATGTCTAACTCATTCTGATTTTCATGTTTAGACTAATTCACAAAATAATAGGCCTAGAATGCCTGCAAGTTCTAAGCATTTTTGGAATAGGAAAGCATATAAAAATAATGTTAAGGACACATTTGCTTCCTGTTTTAAAATGGAATATTTCTCAAATAGTGAACAATGCTATGAACTTATTAATCCACGACCATTTTCTTACATTCACAGCAGTGTGTATGGAGAGGTGTGCACCGTGACTCCATTTGCAATGAGAGAATGAGATGGTACCTTGTATCCACCAGTGTGGTACTATTATAACAAGTCATGCTGGGTCTGTAAGGTCGAGTTTGATTTGTTCATTAAAATGAATAAGTTGAGTTCCAGTGAATGTAGGCTATCTCTTAATGTCAACAGTTTTAAAATGTTACAGAAATAGCTCAGTAATTTCAATTACCTAAAAATTGGCTTTTCATGATAACCAATGATTTTATAATATAACCTTCTAGTTTCTATTCTCAGAGTTTCTCTAACAATACATTACTTTAATAAAAAGATACATAATGTATAAGAAGGAGATAGGTTTGAAAATAAATTGTATGAGAATTGTTTTGCTCTTAACATTTCTTTATATATTTGCAAAATACATATATATCCCTGTTTGCTAATTTTTCTTCACTTACACATTTACTCCTTTTGTTATATTTTTTCTATTCTGAAGGAGTGCTTCGAAAACTCTTATTATTTGTCACAAACATGTTCTTAACTTTGTGTACCCATGCACCGGTATACAAGCATACATGCCATGTTCACCTGTGAGGAAGCCAAAGCGTGCTGTCTCTAGTTATCACTCCTCTCTTCCTTGCTTTGAACCAGGGGCTCTCGCTGAATTACAAGCTTGCTGCATTGGGAGAAGCCATTCAGAGAGCTCTTGCACTCTGACTGTCTTTGGCCCGCGATGCTGGGGTTATGAACATAAACAGTCATGCCAGCTTTTTAAACAGGTGCTGGAAATTTGAACTCAGGTTTCCTCTGTTCTGTTTAGTATCTTATAGTATGTTTTTATATGTATCCTTTTTCTTTTACTGAGATGGAATCTCAGTGTATAGCCTTGGCTAGCCTGTAGTTATATACCACCTGGTATCCAGAGATCTCATACCTGCCTCTGCCTCTTCGCTGATTTTAAAGGTGTGTGACACCATCATCCCTTAATAAGTAGTCTTTCTACATAATTTTGTGTGTTAAATTATTCCTGTTTATTCAAACAACTAAGACTCTCAGTAACTATTTATCTTGATTCCTCATTCAGTGTAGTTTTTAAATCTGCCATACTTTTAAATTAAATGGAGCTAAGCAATATAATGCCACTTAATCCAAGAGCCAGAGCTCAAAAAGCATTTAGTGTGCTGTGACCATTAGTGTATGCCAAGAACACTGTGGCTTAGTTTGCCAGGAATACTGTTTTAAAAATAAAAGGCTGTTTAAAAATTAGAATTGTTTTACTGATAGGCCGAGAAGCCAAATAATCCGTCCCGGGAGATGTTTAACCTAGAAATGTCTCCTACAGACTTACTTTCTACATCTTCAGTTAAAGCATTTAACTTTCTATAAATGATGCAAAAGCAGTTACTGTGGGTAATGGCTTCTTCCTTAGACTGAAGATGGACAACTGATTGTTGAAGGGATGCTGGACATTTTCTGGGGAGTAAAACGACCCATACAGCTAAAAATACAGGATGAGAAGCAAATCTCTTCTTTTGATCTGTTGAAGTCAACAGAAACATTTTCCAGCAAAAGGTAAGCCATCCTCCCTAAGCCATCCTCCCTAAGCCATCCTCCCTTGTAATTCCTTAGATGGCCTCGCTGTCTCCCTTCACTGTATGTGCTCCTGGTACAGGTTTGCTTATAACTGTGCATGAGTGTTTATAGACAATCTCATACCATTACCATTCATTGGGAATCTGGAAACTGTGTCTCTGAGGTCAGGAGAATGTGTGCATGATAGCTAGTTAACCACCTGGCAGCACCAAAGGGACCTCTGTCCCACGGGCTCAGAGCCTAGGCTTGTGGGTCCTTCTCCTCCATTGCGTCTCCCAGAGGGCTGCATTTGCTCATTGGAAGAGACAAGACGGAAAGGTAAGATTTGAAGAGTCACAACCTGACCTTCAAAAACTGGGAAGAACTTAAATTTGTCCACTCCTAGGAACACAGGACTCTTGTTTTCTGGAGAGGAGACTGAATTGTGCTTATGCTCAGAGCAAGCGGGCTGTTTAGCTGAGCAGAGCAGAGTCCATTTGAAGCTCATTATGCAGAGCCGTTCCCTGGGTGGGAAGATGCAACTGTACCTTGGATGTCTGACTTTGGTGGCGTTTTGTCATGACTCTTCATAGTGTTCGTAAAATTAATAATTATTGTAAATTATATCCGTAAATTGGCTCACTTCTTCCTTCTCCATCTTCATCCCCACCTCGCCTGCCTTCTGACACACCTGGACCACTTTTCACAGTTCTTTTTACAACTGCCATCCATACTGGAAGAGTTAGGGTTCTACTGGGCAGAAACGGAAAGCCAGCTACCAGGGTGACACATTTGAGTGATCTGATCCTTGACCACATTTAAGGAAAGTTAGGTACCACCCTGGAGAATATGCCCATGTCCCACCATGATTTTTACCTTTCCAATGCTTGTCAAACCTCTTTCTTGAACAAGGCTGAGTATTTTGTAATTCCTTAAACACGTCATGCAATTTCTCAGTTTCCTCACTTTGCCTAGAAGCCAGCCTATCAATGTCAGGTCATCTGACTCGCCTCTAACAAATTATCCTGAATGCCCTCCACGGTCCCCCCAGTCCATACTGAGTGCACTGACAACTTTCCTTTATCACCTCCAGGCCATCCAGTTTGTTGGACTTTTACACATCCTATCATGCATCTCCAGTGAGAGTTTGTAGGAACACATTTCGAAGTGTGTTTACATCCCAGTGCCCAGCACCAAGAGGAAGGAAGGAGGGAAGGAAAGAGAGAGGAGAGAGAGGGGGAGAGAGGGATGAAGAAAGAGAGAGATGTAAAATATGATAGATGGAGAAGGAAAGCCTGAGTGAGATCCCCAGAAACCTATAACTAAATTACATTTGCTTTGTGTGACAGCCACCTCACCCCGCCTGCTGCTCCTCCCGAGTCTCCCACCCATGCTTAAGGTCTGCTGGTGGGCACAGGGCATGGTGCCTGTGAGCACAAATGGGACCACTGCCTCAGGCAGCCCATGGCGCCCAGCATCCCAGGTACAAGATGACTGACAAGGCTGTTCACTCTGCAAGCAGCATTTAAAAGGAATTGAACCCTGTTTAAAAAAAAAAAAAAAAACGAGATATGAATTCACAAAATTAGTGATTTTATATAACGTCTTTTTAAGAACTCATGACAAAGTTCTTTGGGAAGTCAATCCCTCTTGCTATATTTTAATTCCCTTAGGTTCATTAAAATTTTGTTAAGTATGAGGCCACGGAGGTAGACGGCACTTATACTGGTATGTTATTTTAATAGCTATTCAAAAATATGTTTTAATTTCTCAAATTCAAAATACTAGTTTTGAATTAAAAATACTGAAATTGTGGGTGAGTTTTAGGAGCCAGGGGTGGGGCTAAGGTGATACTGATGCTCTTTCATGTGCCGTAGCAGATTATAAACTGTCATCCTCACACTGCACGGTCTGCAGAGCCCATTTTCACCGAGAACCTTGCTGGTAGACTAGGGACCCTTCTCCTCTCCATGGTCAAACACAACAGAAGCAATGCGAAGGAGGGGAGGGTTACTTGGGTTTACAGTTTCTGATGGACAGACCATCGTGGGAGGGAAGGCATGGCAGCCAAAGGGACTCCATCCATAGCAACGGGAGCTTGAGCCATAGCGTGTCAATAGCTCAGCAAATCAGAAAGCGGGGAGCACTGATCAAGGTGTCTTCAAGGTCTGTCCCCCGGTGAGCCACTTCTGCAAGCTAAGTCACGGTCTCAATGACTCCACAACCTCCATAACACTGCCAGCTGGGGTACACATGAGCCTATGGAGTGCACTTCACATTCAAGCCTTAACAACCTGGAAGCAAGATAGAAGTTATTCCTCATTTAAAAGTAAGAAAGTACAACAAGACAACTGCAGAAGACTGTGACCATGGTAACCAGACATGACTAGAACACTGGGGTTATTGCCCTGTCTTTTACCACAGCAACAAGACTTTCCAGAACAATGTAACAATGTTTGTGCTGTGACCCATATCTTTCTAGTGAGTGAGAATTAGCAGGAAGAGACACCACCCCTTGTGCATACAATGCAGACTATCTCTGTCTCTCTGTCTGTCTGTCTGTCTCTCTCTCTCTCTCTCTCACGCACACACACACATGATCATGATAGCATGGTTTGGTTGTGGTTGGTTAGTCAAGAGTGTCTTGTGCAATCAGCTGAGCATTCAGGCAGGAAGACTCGAAGCAGATGGAATGACCTTTCCTGGCCTCTGTCCTGATGGTACAGTCACCCTCAGCACTGTTCCCTGGCTGCAGCTCATCTCAGGTACCCTCGCTTGATCACCCCCTTTCGGGTGACTCTAAATTTGAATTCTGTGCCTCAACTAAATTGTGTAAAGAATTTGACCGTTCCCTTATTGCAAGCCTTCTCTCACTCTCCTTCTCCCACACTGTTATATTTATGGACAGAACTTAACACTACTGCTCAGATCTGCTGCCCCCATGGGTTAGTGTACAGTGAAGGACATGGACAGTGTGTATTCAGCTGCAAGAACTCCAGCTGAGTGCCTGTCCATTCATCCCGTGAGAAAAATAATGAGTCACACTGAGGCAGTACCAGCCAAATGGGAAGGGTAGAGGTTTAAAAATACAAGGGTTTGTTTGAGCTCTGACCACTTGTGTGCATGGAAATGACTCTGTTGGAGGACTTTGGTCTCTCATATCTCAGTCAAAGGTTTTATTACAGAAATTGGGTATTTAAAATGAAGCAGAAAAGAAGTATCTTACTGGGGTTACTTTTGCTTTTGCTGGTTTTCATTTCTATTTTAATATCTTTTGAAAGTGGGTGTTGGCATATTTTAGACAAGCATGGCTTGTCTAAAATATGAAATAAAGAAGTGAACAGGTGCATAGTTGATTTGCATCAATAATGGGTTTTTTTCCTTATGTTATAGATAGGGAAGCGACTGCATTTTATTTGTCTATCAAATTTCTATCTCCATTTTAATTTTCAAACATTATAACCCCTCTCCAGTATTTAAATTTGTCCCTGTTAAACTTTCTGGTGTTTGGTCAGAGCAACACAAACTGTTCAATGTTTGGACATGTTCAACTGTTTGATGTTTAACCAATTCTTGCTTGAAAAGTATGGACAACTGCTCTTAAGCTTAGTCATATCCACAGTATATAGAATGGTTCTTGAATTACACAATCCCAAGCTATGAAGTAGTTATTTTGACTTCAGCAATGAGTGGTATGAAGGAAAGAGGCAAAAATGAAATGATTATATTGAGCTGTTTTTCAACCTGTAAGGAAACTGAGGGAGTGGCTGTCACATTTGTCAGAGTCACTGACCAGCTATGAGGATCACAAGTGGTCACTATTTGTAGAATTTCTTTTCCCCCCCGTTGGAAACAGCACCTAGTTGCTTTGTCTTTTAGTTTTAACTTCTCATTGGTATCCAGGTCCCATTGCCACCCCTCTTTCAATAGTGATTAAACATGACTACTTTGGATTGCTAATACGCTGTCCATTGGAGAAAATGTTTAATTTTATGTGCCATATTAATAGGATGTGAGTAGACACCTGAACTGCTAATACAAATAGCTCCTCTATTTCATGACATGTGTTTTGTCTGACAATATTGCCACATAGTAGAATTTACTCAAAATTGTATTAACAAATATATTATGATCATATTATCTACTTTTATGGATGTTGTAAATCAAATAAAAGAAGAGTTATATAAAAGACTTCAAGAGAATTTCAAGATCAAGAGAAAAACAATAGCTTTGCTTTGCCAGTGCCTTCCATTACTGTTTATAAGATGTTTCTCATCAGTATGTTGATTATTTTTCTGTTCTTATGATAAAGTGTCATGACCAAAAGCAACTTAAGGAAGGAAAAGTTTATTTGGGCTTTTGATTCTGGAGGGACAGAGTCCATGGTGAGGAAGGCATAGCATGACTATAGGAAGAAGGAGCTGGCTGATCCCATTGCCATGCACACATAGGTAGCAGAGAGAGAGAGAGAGAGAGAGAGAGAGAGAGAGAGAGAGAGAGAGAGAGAGAGAGAGAGAGAACAGCATACAACTTTCAAAGCCCACTCAATGGTATTCTTCCCCCAGCAAGACTCAACTTCTAAACTTGTGGTAACTTTCCCAAACCAATAAAGGACCAAGTCTTTAAATACATGAATCTTTGGGAACATGATCATTCAAACTATCAATCAGGGACATTTGTGTAGAACTAAGGTCACAGACACCCCAGGTGTAAAGGATGTTATGGAAGAGACTCAAAGTAGGACAAAAAACTTACCATAAATAATAGTGTTCACTTGCCTAGAGAGGTCCAGAAATACGCTAGACCCATCATGAAATGGATTCAGATGCTGGTGGTTATGATGAAGATGATGACGGTGGTGGTAGTGATGATGATGATGATGATTATGATGGTCATGATGATGGTGATGGTGGTGATGAAGCCATTGAATATGAGATCATCCTAATAACATTTTAGATATATATTGAGTGTTTAACAATATTTAGGATATTATTTCAAGATTATTACATAAATTAACACATTAAATCCTACCAACAACTCTATCCTACCTCATACTATGATTATTCTCATTTCATAAATGAGGACACTGAGGCCAAGAAAGGGCATGTAACTAACTTGTTTAAGGCCAGATAAATAAAATCAAAATGAATGTTATTCTGTTGTAAAATAAACAGTTGTCATGTTTCATGTATTTTCTGGACACTAGAATTTTTGAAACTTGCTAATATTCTTACATGAGATAATAATTTTCTAGTGAAGAATTTTTTCGTGTATTTCCTTTTTGTAAATTATATTTTTCAAAGCAGTCCAGGCCTTAAAGGTAAGTACCATATCTTTCTATAATTATTTTGATACTCATGAGTGTAAATGACAATTTTATATCTAAACTCCCCTAAAACCTTAGAAGACATTTGTGTTTCAGTGGTTCACATTGGGTTCTACCAATCCATTTTGAGTCTACATTTTATAGAATCTATCTAGTTTTGCATTTCATTATATCATTGAATTATTTTGCTCCAAAATATACATGTATAAAACATTCTTACCACTGTAGTATGAATGTAATCTTTGTAACATGGTAGACTTGTTTTAAATTTGGATAACACATCTACCTACAGAGGCCCACAACTACAGTGTCAACATTGTAAATCTGAGACTCATCACATGGAATTAGCCTCAGTGACAGGATTTGTTACTTTTCAGGGGCATGACTCGCTGGGGAGAGTTTGATGACCTTTATCGTATCAGTGAGCTGGACAGGAGACAAGTTTTACTGTCTGAAGGAAGGCAGGCTTCGGAAGGTCAGTATGAGAGTGTTATTATCAACATGGTGCTTTTTTTAAAACAACATAAAGAATAATTCCTAAATGTTTGCCTCTTACACAGTACTGCTTGATTAATTCATAGATGTGCGTTTCTCAAGCATCCCCAAGGGCCTCGTGGTTCATGGCTGGCAGCCACTAGCCCTTAGGAACAAATTCTCTTAAGTCTCTCTACTCCATGAGAATGCTTTCTCAATAATGCTTCAGTAGTTTCAGAGGGGAACTAAGACCCAAAATCTGTCTTCTTAGGAAAGGCCTGATAGCTTGGTGTCGGTACAAAACAGAGATGCAGGCCTGGTCCCTCACCTGGAAGTACTATGTTCATACAAAAGCTACTCAACTCACCATGCTTTTATTTATTTATTTATTTATTTTTGGTTTTTCGAGACAGGGCTTCTCTGTGGCTTTGGAGGCTGTCCTGGAACTCGCTTTGTAGACCAGGCTGGCCTCGAATTCACAGAGATCCGCCTGCCTCTGCCTCCCGAGTGCTGGGATTAAAGGTGTGCACCACCAACGCCCGGCCCCTCACCATGCTTTTAATCTTACCTGTCTAACTCCAGACTGACAGAAAAACAGGTTTTTCCAGTTCATCCATGCTAAAATTTTATATAATTTATACCCCCAATAAAGTGAGATTAAAGGAATAGAAACACTAATCATGTGACTACATAAGTCCTATGAGACATAACTCACTTGCAGCATTTGCGGCCTGACCAGTCCCATGCAGCACCTAATAAGTCAGTATAAGCCAAGGAGTGAACTACAGTGATTTGAAATAGCCAGGAAATAGCAGTCACCTTGTTAATAAAAGCATACCAGTGTCCCTACGGTGCAAGAAGATAGGCAGCTAAATGATACGGGCTTGTGGTCTTTATTCTTCCCAGACTATTTATCTTATCACAGCACTCTGAAGCCATATGCAGATGAAGAGCCAGCATCCCCACTGCTCTATAGGACCATGAGTGAGGCAGCTTTGGTGAGAAAAAGGATGAAGACTCCAGTGATGTACAGAAAAGACAGGCAGGACCATAGAGCCTCTATCAACGGACACTTCTATAACCATGAGGTAAATTACAGTAACTTTAATGTGGAATGATGTTGTCCATTATGCTGATAATACTATTTATTTCAACTTAGCATTTAAACCAGTAATAATAACAATGTTAGCAGATGCCTAGCATTCATCATTCTGTCCCTGTGTTAACTCACCGACTAAGTTTAAATACGATCTTGTTCACTTCTTTCTTGGTTTGGATGTTTTGAAGCACAGATTTAAATTAGATAGCATGCATAGTACCTGCTCAGGTTCAAGCCAGCTGGGGTCCCTGCACTGACAGTGGACAGTACATAGGGTCCCGTGCCTACACAATAAGCTATGTGCAATTGATACCTGTTGGCAAAGGAAAATAAATTTCTCCAATGGCGTGTCATCCTGTGTATCAACACGTTCCAAGGCAGGCCCCGTGCCCAGGGAGTAGTTGGCCAACACAAAATGAACTCCGTTTTTTCTTAATGTTCATTAGTGTTTTGCCTACATGTCTGTCTGTCTGTCTGTCTGTATGTATGTATGTATGTATGTATGTATGAGGTGCAAGATCCCCTGGAACTTGAGTTACAGACAGTTGTAAGCTACAATGTGGGTGCTTGGAATTGAACCTGGGTCAGCCCCCCACGGGGGTGGGGAGCTTTTAACTTCATTTTATTTTGTTTGGGCATTTTTTTGTCTTATTAAGGTTTTTTTTTGGTTTATTTGTTTTGACTTCTGTTTTGTTTTTTAAGTTTTGTTTTGTTTTGTTTTTATCTGTTATTTGAGAGAGAATAAGAAAGGAACAGAACATAAAGTTGGATGACTAGGAACATGAGGAGGTCTGGGACAAATTGGGAGAGTGGGAAACATAATCAAAATATATTTTATGAAAATTTTTAAATAAAAAATAAATGAAAGTCGGGCGGTGGTGGCGCACGCCTTTAATCCCAGCACTCAGGAGGCAGAGGCAGGCGGATCTCTGTGAGTTTGAGGCCCGGCTGGACCGATAGCCTCTGAAACAATACAGAGAAACCCTGTCTCCTAAAAACCAAATAAATAAATAAATAAATAAATAAATAAATAAATAAATAAAGTAGTCCCAGCTTGCCGGATACTTGCTATAGAGCCCAAGCTGGCCTCAAACTTAAACTCCTCTTGCCTGAGCCTCCCAAGTGTTAAGATTATAGACATATACACCTAATTTTGAACACATTTCAAATAAATTATCTCACTTATCCTGAAGGCCAGTATCATTATTTTTTTCTTCTTTACATATAATCAAAGTTCACAGAAATAAAGCAATTTCTCTTGAGTCACACTGCTTTTTACAAGAACTCTGAACTTGAACACATAGTTGTCTCCCTCCAAAACTCAAATTATTAACCAGTGTGATGGATGGATGAGTCCCCACCTAGGTGCTGGGTGCCGAAGTGACTGTTTGGAATACATAGATGAGCTTCTTGAGGGGCAAGTACAAAGCTTAAACCAACACACCGACAACAGCATCCAAATCACATAAATAAGGCTCCCACAGAGACTGGCTTAAAGGCATTCAAAGTGTTTATTTCACCTGATCAAGCATCACATTTCCCATCCTGCCCGCCCCGCCCCTTAGGTCTTGTATTCAGGATATCTACCACTGCTGTTTTAGAGTCTTAATGATTGATATGACTTTGTTATTGTTCTTTTAGACATCTGTTTTCACTCCAACCTTTGGATCAGAAACTAAGGTCAGAACAAATAGCAACATGAGAACTGAAGAAGTAATAAAGCAACTTCTCCAAAAATTTAAGGTAATCTTTGTCACTAACCTGAGCTATACTCTGCATGTGAGTAAGCTAATGGAGACACGTAAATGCACTCTCTGAAAACAACAACAACAACAAAAAACTATGGACTAGAACCAATGTTGTATGGTCTGCTCTGGTGGATATTTTCCTCAGTGCAACGAAAGCCTGGAAATTCACATTATCCCCCCACAGACATGTCTGAAAGTGCAGGGGAAAGTGACTACTTTGGGTCTAACATCATCTGAAACAATCCCATTTATTTATTTTTTCCATTGACAGATTGAGAATAGCCCACAGGATTTTGCTCTCTACATTATTTTTGGAACAGGAGGTAAGAAAATCTGGTCTCTTTTTGTACCTGGCTCCAGCAAGTTAGTTTTCAGTTCATAAAGAAGACATAAGAGTGCTTGGTTCTATCAAAAAAAACGGGGCATGGGGGAGACACAGAACACAGAAGAAAGGAGAGGCAGGAAGACAGGAAAGGGTTCATCATAAATTTTGTTATTTACATAGTTTTGGTGCAAACTAAACAGACATCAGAAACACTGAGCTACACTGGGTCTGACACATTGTAAGAAGATGAGCTCTCCCTCAGTAGAGAACATGAGAACTCTGTGTGTGTGTGTGTGGGGGGGTAATATGTTGTCAGCAATCGTTCCAAATGGTTGTGAAGCAAGAAGCTTGCTTGGAAATGTAAAATATGGAAGCAACTGAGGGCGTGAAACCAAGTTGGCATTAGACAAAGGTCAAGAGAGGACTCTGCTGTGCCGAGGAGAGGAGCAAAACCATGCGGGCTTCCTGTTGCTTCAGAAGTGACAGTGAAGTCAGCACACACTGCATTGGAATGGACATGGGAATATATTGAATCCAGAGATGAGAAACAGATTTGACCTTTCTGAGGAAGGAAGTGAGAAACGGGGAGCTGGGAAAAGAAGATGAACTAAAGGACATGGGGGCTTGTCTCAGCGTTTCCTTTTATTAAAGTAATAAAAGGATGGGAGCCTACTGTGACAGAATGCCAGTGCTTTAATCTTTTAAATTTGAAATTCTGAGAATATGCCAATATTTTTGTCTCATTTTCATTGCTGAATGGATGAAACTCATAGATAATGAAAAGGACTAATCGTACTAATTCTGGATTTATAGTTTTAGTTCTTGGAATGCCCAAGAATTGAATGTAAGGTAGAAACAAAAGGAAGAATTAAGATCAGCTATAAAACTGGATTTATATTAATCAAACTTGGTAGTAAATATCTGTTGTGTAAATGGATGAAGGAAGCAAGGGAATTTTTGAAGGGATTGAGCCCTGTTGCTCCTTGGGTAGGACTAGAGCTTTGGCTAGAAGATTTAACTAAAAGGTAGAATTGTTTGAGTTACTAAGTTAGACCATATATCGAGTGGAAGAAGTTCACTTGTAGTTGTTGGAAAGGTTTCCATATTTAGTTTTAATTGTGCTCTAACCATGTCTGCAATTTCACTGTGTATGGTTACAGTTAGCCATGCTCAAGCATAGTCCAAGAATATTGAATGGACTTTTCCAGGAAGAACAATTGATAGGCTGTAAGTAGTCTACCATCAGAACAGTGATAAATTCTTGTGCTGTCCTTTACTCCCCCTCCCTGGGGTGAACATCCACGTGTCCATTGTATCCACACTGTAGACACAACCTCCCCACTTGTCACTTAGTGTCAGCCTAGTTATCAGATCAAGTGTTGAGGCACCATGCTGTTAGTCTTCAAATCATGCTTCTTTCTTTCCTTTTGGTAATGGCCTCAAACTACAAAGGCAGTAACGCTGACCGCTTTACTAGAATATTCTGTGGTTGCTCTATTTGTTACTAGTGATGCTACCCTCTTACTATGGCTGATTTATAAATCAAGCTTTATCATAGATATGTATAAATGTATGTGTATAGAACAAACAGATATACGGGATTACATACCGTCTACAATGTCACATGTGTCCCTTATGGTCTGGGAACATATCCAGCATGGATAATGGGGCATGACTCCCCTAGGGTTTTTTGTTTGTCTGTTTGGCTGGTTGGTTGGTTTTTGTTTGTTTGTTTGTTTGTTTTCTAGGGTTAACTCTTACTGTGGTTTGCTCCTTTTCATTTGCAGAGCAGAGGAAGCTAAAGAAGACTGATGTCCCGCTGCTGCAGAGACTTCTACAAGGACCATCCAACAGCAATGCTCGGATCTTCCTCATGGATAAAGATACAGAAGAGATTAGCAGTGATGTATGGACACCGATAGCCGCCATGTGCCCTCGCGTCTCCCTCTGACTCAGCATTTCTTTCATGCCTTCTCTTTCCCTTCTCAGGTGGCGCAGTACATTAATTTTCAGTTTTCCTTCTTGGAATCCATTCTTCAAAGATTAGATGAAGAAGAGAAAAGAGAGACTGAAAGAATAATGGCGAAGTAAGTCGAGAGCGCGCGCCTGGCACGCTATTTCATCCTTTCATAGTGCGCGCCCGGCACCCAATTTTTCACGTTCTCCTTCTCCTTTGCAGATTCAATACCGAAAGGGCCTTTATCCTGAAGTGTCTTCAGAGTAAACAGGCAGCAAAAACAGAGACCACAGTCTAGAGGCACCGCACCTACGCTAGCCTGCGCACCTCAGCAGAGCTGGGGAGGGCACATCCGGGTGACAGTCTGCCTCTGCGCTCTGATACGCATGACCTTGAAGCTGTGGAATGCCAAAGAGCCTGCTTCCTCTTTGAAATGATGAGGTTGGCTATAGCTCAGAGTTGGATGAAGGCAAGAGTGGACTTCAGTAGCTGAAGGAAGCCTGGATACTGTGTATTCCAAATGTCATTTGTAGCAAATTCTTTAGTGAACTCAAAGTGGCCTCTGCTAATATCATGTGGTTTAAACTTGTTTTATCTTGCACTCTTAAAAGAACTGAGACATTTGCTGACTCATAAATGTTTGGAAATCAACACTTCCAGTTCTTGATGTCAAGGAGACACACATTCTCAAGCCATCAAGGACCTGAATTGGCTGTGAACAATGGTGCATCTGTATAAAACCTAGAAGTTTCTTTACAAGGGTTGATGATATTTAACCCTGCAGTATCAGCGCTCTCTGTCCTTTGGGAATAAGATGATTTTGGACTCTAAAGAAACTGAGACTCAGGGCTGCAGAAATGGCTAAGCCGATAGGGGCACTGACTACTCTTTCAGAAGACCTCGGCTCGATTCCCCAGCACCCATGCGGTGGCTCACAGCCATCTACAAGCCCAGTCCTAGAGGATCTGACACCCACCTCTGTGGGCACTGCACACACATGTCCAAATATCCATACACGTAGAAATAAAAAAAATTAAAAAATGGAAAACTAAACTCTGATTTTCTCAACCTGGACCCTTCATTTGTGTGGTAACACCCCCTACCCCCCCACACACACTTCTACTGATAACTTCCAAGCTGATTTTAAGTGTTTTAAAAGTTGGTCGTATTCATTTTCTTTATCTTTGCAAACAAATGTATCACAGACTACATAGAACAAGATTTGACCACAAATACTGAGTTGTTGCTGGTGATTGCTGTACCTGAGCCAGGAGAGGCCTCACAGAACTCTTGCTGCTGTGTAAGACACGTTCGAGGTACTCACAGATCTGCTAATCCCACTTGGAAAAAAAATATGATGGGTTTTATTTGTGAACTCTTTATTAGCGTGAGTTTTAATCAATATTTTCCTATCCCCAAACTACTTCCATTTGAACTCTTTATCTGAAACTGTTCAATCATGTTACCTGTACTAAGGTAAGGTTGTATCATCAGCTTTAAATTGTGCAACAGTTGTAATGATAAGCTATCCATTCTCCATCCCCAGAACCTGAACAGGGTGACAGTGTAGTGGTATGTCTGTCCCAGGAAGTCTCCCTCACCGGTTGAAACAAAGTCTTGTATTTCTAAAGCTTTGCCTATCAATCAAGAAAGGCACAATTTCATCTCACTAAAAATGGACCAAAAGAGCAAAGTATGTTGAAAACCCATCCAGGTATGGTGGTATATCCTTCTAATCTCACCACTCAGCAGCCAGGGAAAGAAGATTACTACAAATCCAGGCCAGCTTGGACTATGTAGTAAATTCCAGGCCAACCTGTGCCCCAGAATAAAGCCCCCTCTCAAAACTCGTGTGTGTGTGTGTGTGTGTGTGTGTGTGTGTGTGTGTGTGTGTGTGTGTGTGTGTGTGGTGTCTACGAAGTGCATACAAAACTCAGCAAGACTTACACAGAAAAAGAAAGATGCTATGAAAACTCACAGAAGAGAAATTGCATACAACTACTAAGTGTATGCAAAGTATCGCGTCTTCGTTCATCAATTCAGGTCAGTAGAGAGAAACTGGTAATATAGGCAAAGTTTAGCCTGAAGAATTATTAAGTTATGATAGGACAGCAACATTAAAAACAGGATGAGACCTCTAATGGGTACCTGGCACATGAGCGTTTGTGGAGGTGAAGAGAAAATGTAGACACAGTGACTTTGACTAAGGATCCAGTCTGCACTTGTCTGAGTCAAAAGCTGGGGAAGAAGGTCAGGTGAACAAACAGGGAGAGAAAGCTGCACGACTCTGGCAGCTAGCTTTGGAGAAACCCCTGGAGGCAGAGTGTTGAAGAGCCAGGAGGCAGCGAAGACGGCAATGCTTTTCTAGCGCCCTCTGCTGGTAATAGGTGATATTGTACAAGCTGGGAAGGAAGCCTTACAGGGGCCTACCCTCCTCACACACAGGGCTATCACGGGGCTGTGAAAATAAAAACTGGCATGTCAGCAAAACTGGCACATTAGCAAAGACTAAACTGCTTGACATGTAGTGGAGATGTGTGCTTCAGCAAATGGATTTTGTTTTTCTTTGAACACAAGTTAGTTGTAAAATTTAACCTTATAATTCTACTTGTAAAATACGATGTGGACATCAGAAACAAAAAGCTTTTTTTCAAAATTGTTTATTACCCTGATGTTTATACTGACCAAAGGTAGTAAAAAGTCTAAATGTATAAAAACAGGAAAAAATTATGTAAAAGGAAAGAAATATTTGCTCAGACTGCTATAGTCGTTAAAATTATATTTTAATAATAGAGCTAAAGTCTCCTTATTAATATAAAAATATATTGTAAAAATACCCATCCATTAGATTTGTGGATGAGTATTTACTTGTGTGTCTACATACTAATATTGTATATCCACTCACAAACCAAAAACAAGTCATGTGTATCCCTAATTTTTATATTTATTAAATATTATACAGTGATGTATTAATTTTTCAATCAAAAAAGAGAAAAATGTGTCACATGAAAGTTATCCACAAAGAGTGGATAGATTCCACTAGATTCCTGCTTACATCCATGCAGGAATAGATTCCTACTAGATGTAAAATATTTTGTAATTACTAAAATAAGGCATTGACTTTACCTTTGTGTGGTTTAAAACATCTTTCCTGTCTGTCCTCCTTAATCTTTCTGCAAGTCAGCTGGACAAATGGCTGCCTTTTATTTTTAATGGAAAAGCAAGTATAGCCATATGGCACCTGGCGTGATGTTGTAGGCTAGGATGTGAAATGATTGAACTGGAAAAGTCAATCACATCTCATGCTTATTATCATGCCTCCAAGACAACAACTTTTAAACATCCACTCTTTCGGCATCTGGAAATTCCGAGGAACATAGCAAAGCAGAGGGGAGAGCGTGTGACTCCTGAGATTTGATCACCGAGTTGCTGAGGCTTCTTCAAAGTTACTCTGGGGCACTTCCTTATGTCTATGATGGTCTGGGCGGCCATGGGAAAAGCCTGTTAGATCCAGCACTGAGCCTTTCTACCGGGAGCCTCTCCTCCCAATAGCGGCTATTCCTTGCTCCACGCCCGTCTCGGAAGTGAATTCCTAGGCCTCAGACAAGTCTTCAAAAGCCAGTACTCAACCTAATAGCTTGAATGCAACTTCTGAGAGACCCTGAGCCAGAAAACCCATTAGAATCTGTCCTGGATTCCTGGTCCTCAGAAACTTTGTGAAGTAAATGTTCGCTGTGTTGTGTGGCTAAATGCTAAGACTGTTACATAACCCTATATTACTAACGTACAGTTTCTAAGGCCAAATCTATTTCAGCTATTTTTGCATAATGCCTGACCATAAACTTTGTCAAAGGAGTTTTTCCTTGCTTGGGGTGATCCAGATATTTCGTTGTCAGTTACATATTAATTAAAATAAAATCCTGGATATCCCACTATGGTTATCAGTCATAGAGTCTATTGCATTTATCTTTCTACTTTTTGTACTTCATGCCATGCCTTGTTGTACATAGAATGTGCTCAATTCAAGAATTAGTTAATTATCTAAAATATTCTTATGAACTCTACTGTGCACATGGAAACTTTGCTAAACTCAACATCAACTGCCCCCCCACAAAAAACACCTCCAAAATATATTTTATTATCTCAGGACTCTGAAGTATTTAGTTAGCCAGCATTACTGTGGAATCTAGGTGCAGGCTACACATTGGTCTGAGAAAAGGGAGGGCACTCCACTTGCAGCCGACGAAGGAGAGACAAGAGGGGTAACTAATAGTTGGAGCATGTGTATGGGAAACGTGATAGGGTGTAATTAGTAAGGCAAAAATCTTTACTGACATCCAATTTTACACTCAGCAGCATCTAATGCCAGTGAGGTTGAGCCACTGACATCAATCAGTATTTGATTAGCAAAGCCTGGTAGCATTTGCCTTTTCCCTTGCAACTATTCTTTGAATTCCATTGCACATATGAGGAAAGTAAGCCTTGCAGAGGCTAGGAAATAGGCTAAGATCTTACTCAGAAGAAATAGCAAGAAGTTGAACGATGGCCATTAGGAGTGAATTCTAGGAGACTGGTTCCGGGACCCTGCCCAGACATCGCCATCTAAAGATGCTAAAATACATCCTATGAAAAGGACAATTAGCATGTAATTTACAGCCTCCCCGATACTTTAGCCCATCTCTGGCTGACCTATAACTACAGATTGTTTACTAGGACAATGTAATGTAATCATAAGGACAATGTAAATGATAAGTAAATAGCTGTTATATTGTTTAGGGGCTGATGATAAGGAAAGACACCCGCACCTGTTTGATATAGTAGTGTGAAGTTTCTTCACTCCACAGTCAGGGAAAATCATAGGACCAGACTCTACAAAGGCAGGAGAGCAATGTGAAGACCATGTGCAAATGTTGGTGCTTTGCATGTAAGAGGTATTGGGGGAAAGTATCCATTACATTTAAGTTAGCATGTATCATGGACAGCCCATTGCAGCCCTACCTTCCATTAGGCCTGACTGTTCACACCTGCTTTACTTTTGTCTTACAGCCAATCAAACTGGGCTGAGGAGGTGGCTCAGTGGGTAAAATGCTTGTTCTGAAAGCCTGAAGACCTGAGTTCAGATCCCCAGAATGCATGCATAGCCAGATGTCATGATGGACATCTGGAATCCCAGGGCAAGATGTAAGTGAGACAGGAGAGTCCTGGGAATCTCATGGGCAAGCTAGTCTGGTGTACACAGTGGCAAACAAGGCAGAAGGTGGCAGCCAACAGCTGAGTTTGTCTTCTTACTGCCACACATGTGCCATGGCCTGCATGTGCCCGCACACAAACGCAAATACACACACACACACACACACACACACACTCGAGACTGAAAACACGATACAAAAGCCACAGCTAAATGGATCTCTCACATTACACACACACACACACACACACACACACACACACACACTCAAGACTGAAAACAAGATACAAAAGCCACAGCTAAATGGATCTCTCACATTCTCTGAAGTGTCTTCACTACTTGTCCAGCTGTTGAAGCCATTCTTGTTGTCTAGTTCTAAGTAAGACTCTGTCCTTCGGTGACCTTTCGTGGTCTCTGTGACAGTGGGTGGTCTCAAACTCCTGTGCACTGTGATCATTTGCTCCACTTTTGAAACACTGAACATGTGACCCATGCCTTTATCTCAATGCTTTGAATCGATTGTCTTATACCAACTCATTAGTAGCTTTGTGTTATAAGTATGTGTGTGTGTGTGTGTGTGTGTGTGTGTGTGTGTGCCATGCAGGTGCACAGGCACATATGTGAGAACATTCCCCATAGAGGCCAGAAAAAGATATCCTCCAAACTCCAGTCACAGCAACGATGAGCTAGCTGCTAGATGTGGGTGCGGGAAACCAAACTTGGGTCCTCTAAGAGAGTTGTTTGTCCTCTTAGCAGCTGGACCATCTCTCCAGTCGCCACCACAGTAGTTTACAAAGTGCATTGAATGCATAGGATGTTCAACAAATGTGAATGTTACTAACATGTATAAATACTGATAACTCTGGAACAGGAAAAAAAACAATGTACAATTAAATAAAGAGAATCATAATTAGAATTTAAAGTTTTCTATTTCCCCATTCAAAATACTCCACTTATTTAATAAGCACTAAACTAATACTGTTTTAATTATATAAAACAATCATAGAAAAAGTTTTAAAGACCCAATTATAAGTCCTTTGCATCATTTTCATTAGAATTTCCAGAGAAAGCAGTAGTCACCCAATAATGCTCAAATTAATACAAATATATTAGGAGCCATGGCTGGCAATGTCAACATCACAAACACACAGGAGAGTAGGAGTCAGAACCCATCATGGAGGTAATTTTGTTAGCATCGTTCCCTCAGTTCATCAACAGTCAGTCATTCTCAGAAGTGGTACAGACCGCTCCATGTTGACCTTGAAGTCTTCACTGTGGGGGCCCAGCAGCCGGTTCCCAGCAGACGTGCCTACACATTAAATGGGCTGGAGACCTTGAATATTGTTTGGGTTCATGCCTCTGCCACTGCTCTTGAGAGGCAGAACTTGTGTGGGAGAGCCTGGAGGGGCTGATCTGGGAAAGGAAAGATGGTGTGGACCAGCCGGTGTTCTTCTCCAACACTGAGCCGATGAGAAGACACTCTGTTATCTTCCATACTGCCAATCTCAGTGATTATCCTACATGGGCACTCTTTGCGATGACTCAGTCTCTAAGAGGAGCTGGCACCTCCTGATCAGTTGGAGTCCCTAGGGAAAAATGAATAAGTAAACCTGTGATTGGGAAAGAGAAGTCAAAACTACCATGGTCCTGGTCCCTAAACAGAAATGTCTTCAACCTTCCATGTTGGATGCCTGAGGGAGCTTCATTATGCCCCTTCCTCTGGGTGTGAGATTTCCCAACATGCCCAGTTTCTTAACTTAAAGACCCAGTTAACTACAAGTCCTTTATTACTTTCAGGACATTAGATCTGAAAAACTGTCATCTCTTCTCAAGAGGGTCAGGCTCTTTTGCTGCAGGATAATGCACATGTACATGTACAGACACACTCATATACACACACATCCACATGCACAAATACACATGGCACACGCTAAGCAAACACTCCATCAGGAAGCTACATAGCTATGTCCTGAGCCCAGAAAGGCTGTCAAACAGTGAAGAAGTCCCTGCAATGAGAACCACATGGCCTGAGGCAAAGCGAGAGAGAGAGAGAGAGAGAGAGAGAGAGAGAGAGAGAGAGAGAGAGAGAGAGAGAGAGAGAGAGAGAGGGAGGGAGGGAGGGAGGGAGGGAGGGAGGGAGGGAGAGAGAGGAAGAAGAAGAAGAAGAAGAAGAAGAAGAAGAAGAAGAAGAAGAAGAAGAAGAAGAAGAAGAAGAAGAAGAAGAAGAAAGTGCAGTTTCACCAGGGCTTTCAACCCCAGACAGTTAAGACAAAAGGATCAGTGTGACTCCAGGTTGGCCTTGTTCCAAGGCAGCCTGAGCTGTGGGATGACACCCTTTCTAAAGAAAAAAAGGAAAAAAAAGCAAGCTCCTATGATGGAATGGAGGACACAGAAAACAGGAGGGAAAGAGGTCCCTTCCTCACACTGTCAAGGTTTCCCCTCCTCAGCCTCTCTGAAGCTAGCCTGCTGCAGACGGCTAAGCATACCAACACCAGCATTTGGGATGAGCACTAATTACCCATCTCCCGCCTCATACCCCTTGTGACATGGTTATCAATCCTTCATTCTGTACATTCCCTGAACATAACAGTTTGCAGACTCCCTTTTAAGAAATGTTTAGAGTTGAAAAGATCGTTTAGCAGGTAAGGGGACTTGCATGAGGTCCTGGGTATGGACTCCCACCCCAGGTAAAAGCAGAGAGTGGTTGTGCAAGCCTGTCACAGCCCCAACGCATGAGTGCAGAAACAACAGGCAAGCAGAAATGGGCAAGCAGAGACAGGAGAATCCCTAGGCCTGGGTGGCCAGCTGACCTCACCCAAACAATGAGCTCAAAGGAACAAGGCAGAGTGTAATAGAACAGAACACACAATATCCTCCTGTGGCCTCTGCGTGTGTGAGCACGCACATAGCACACCCCAAAGCAAAAATAAAACAGGAATAAACATGGTTTCCATCTCTTCTGATATCCCAATACAGGACTACAGAAAAATAAAATCCCATCAATTATTTAAGAAATAAAATAGCACAGACAACATTAACACCTGGTCATCAGTCTGAGTTAAACATAAGGCAACTGTGACTAACACTAGCCTGAATGTGACCGTGGACCTAGGAGCTTGAACGGCAATGGGAAAGAATGTGGCATCAGCAAAAGACCCGAGTCACTGAGCCGAGCCGCTCTGTGCTGGCGTGGGGCTGCACCCAGCAGCTTAACCTGCCCACCCCACTTTCCATTTCTCAGATGGGGCAGCCCTGCCCCTGCGGCTGAGGCTGGTTTGGACCTGGATGTTCTTGATTCAGCCTCTCAAGAACTGGAGTTTACTAGCATTAACCACATGACTTCCCAGAGTCTCACAGCTCCGAATGCCCTCTCAATAAGTTTGTTTTCATTGAGTTAGCCGGAACTTAGCCCTATCACTTACAAAGAATCTCTACTGGCAGAGCAGCAAAAGTACTGTGCAAATATGTGGAGAAAATAATCTTTGAAAAATGCTACTGTCAGCTGTGGTGACCCAAGCCGGCAAGGCCAGCCGTCAGGAACCTAAGGCAGGAGGATTACAAGTTGAAGACCTATTTGAACGACTTAGTGACACCCTGTAGAAAACATTTTAAAAAGTAAAACAGAAGTTGGAAACATCAATGAGTGGTAGAGAACTTACCTACTATGTGTGGGGCCATAAGTGAGGCCCTAAGCTCGTGTGCATGCGTGCGTGTGTGCGTGCGTGCGTGCGTGCGTGCGTGTGTGTGTGTGTGTGTGTGTGTGTGTGTGTGTGTGTGAATGTGGGTGACAGAAGTGGCTTGGGAAGTCTGTGGGGTCACTGGTAGTGGGACCAGAGTTTATTCCTAGCAGTTGAACTTGCTTTTGGAGCCCATTCTCTATGGAGGGATGCCTTGCTCAGCCTAGATATAGTGGGGGAGGACCTTGGTCCTGCCTCAAAGTAAGGTGCCAGACTTTGTTAACTTCTCATGGGAGGCCTTACCCTCTCTTAGGAGTGGATGAGGGGTGGGATAGAGGGAAGAAGGAGGTAGGAGGAGGAGGGGAGGAAGCAGGAACTGGGATTGGTAAAATGAGAAAAGATTGTTTTTAAAATAAAAAATGATTTTAAAAAGTAGTTGCTTTATGCTTTGCGAGCACGGGAAAAGGGTAATTGAATACTCTCAGAAAGGATGGAAGTATCAGGAAACTATAATTCAAAATTGTAAAACCAAACAGATGTGGCGTGATTTTATGTTGTCAATGATAGACTATAAGAGACATGACTTCACTGTAATGTCTCTTTTGAGAGATAATGGGAGAAATTGGTGACTCTCAGCAGCCTGGCCTGCTACTGCGAATAATATTTTCAGGAAATCTGCCATCAAATAGACTACTTTAGTCTCAGCCTGTTAACCAAGAGCATACAGGTTTTGGTTACAAAGCAAGTTCTTTTGTTGTTGTTGTTATTGTTGCTTGTTTGTTTTTCGAGACAGAGTTCCTCTTTGGAGCCTGTCCTGGGACTCACTCTGTAGACCAGGCTGGCCTTGAACCTACAGAGATCCTACCGCCTCTGCCTCCCGAATACTGGGACTAAAGGCGTGCACCACCCCCTCCCGGCCTACAAAGCAGGTTCTTTAACCCAGGCAATGTGAACAGAATGGTTTCCTTCCTTTCTCACCTTTAAGACTTCCCACCATTACAAGATGGGAGGGTTGTGTGGAAACCAAGGATGCTTAGACATGCTAATTAAGTTTAGGAGAATCATTAGGTGCTGGGTAAAGCTGAAAGACCAAAAACTTGAAAATAACCAATTAGTGAACTAATAAAACTTTAACTGAAAGAAAGGACACAGACAGAGATAGAGATGGACTACAGGTGTAAGCAAAGTGAGTGTAAGTATACTATGTTAATTAAGTGATGATAATATTTCTTGAAATTATTCCAACATTGTAATCACAAGAGGATGGAAAGACTTAAAATGATTTGTCTCTGAGAAATGGGGCATTTGCCCTGCTCCTCTTTAATTGTTATGAACCACAGCATGTGTTACTTAATTTTCAAACTTATGTAATTGATCAAAAGAAACTGGGGCCAGTAACTCAGTGTGGCCCGATCAATATGTATTTAGCTAATAATCCTGCTTAATCAGATCATCGTTTTTTCTTCATAATTATATCTTACAATTGCAGTAGCTTTGACAGTAGATTCATTAAGCTGGGGAGACTAATCACGTAGTGAGTCTAGACCTCTAAAATCCTTGCTTCTTTCTGCATTAACTTGTGTTAAGTCGCATCTCAGGGCAAAAAGTAACCTTTCTTATTCATTCCATGTTGAGTAGCAACCACAGATCACCACACTGAACTTCTGCTAACTCACTCAAACTTTGATCGATTCTCACATTTGGTGAGGTGATAAACATCATAGAAGACTGCATGTGATCAGACTAAAGAATCTCTGCAAAGAGAATGTTCTCCATGTGCCTGCTAACGCCTGGACTCCCCTTGTTTCCTGAACTCTGAAGTCTTCCTTGGGCTATCTAGATTCGGCATGGGGTACAGGCAGATGGGGGAGGCTCTACACACTCGGCTGTTTCATCTTCATCACACAAAACAGACCTGCTCCCCAACTGTCTCGCCTCCGTGTTTTCTTCTCTTGCCAGCATTCTGACACTGACTTTGGCTCATCTCCTCTTTCTTAGAATTTTTCTTTGGTTATGGGGTTACATCTTACAGTCTATCTTCTATCCTTTCTAAAAAAAGCTTTCTTCTCTCACTGGCCTTAGGGTGAATGGCAGGTTTCAAGCTTACCCACTTTCTCTTTTAACAGGCCGAGCAGGTTTACCTAACTGACAGTCTCAGGAAACAAAGGAAATGCCTTCCAGGTGCTGGCCACAATTAGCCTTACTGCTCTTACAGCCTCCACAGATGGCCAGCAGGCTGAGCCCTTTCCTGGAATCTCAGCTCCAGAAGACTGTTGGGACATTCCAACATCCTGTTCCTTGTTGCTAGTCAAACCCAGAATCAGTCCACCAATACAGAAGCCGGAAGTATAAACTTTTAAAGAAAAGATTCCAAAATATTTTCATTGTTGATTCCTACCTTTTTGGCTAACTAAGCCTCTTTATGCATTACAAGGTTTGTTTTAAAACATACTCTAGTCTTAAACACTTGTATTTAATATTTCCCAAAGTCTCTCATTTTCTTTTGTTGTTTTCCAGAGGCTTCTTTATTTCTACTGCTGCCCTTTGTTCTGACTTCTCAGTCGAAGTCAGACCTATGGAATTATTGGGAGGGGTAGAGGGAAAGGGGGTTCCTGAAGTGTGGTCCTCAACATACCACAGCAGCAGCAGCAGCACCTGGGAACTTGTTAGAAACATTGAGTCGCTGGACTTCATACAGACCTACTGGGTCAACAGCCCTGTGGACAGAGCACACTCACTCTGTTTCAGTATCCTTCCAGATTACACGTATTAAACCCTGAGAAGCGTCGCCTGGAATGATCACTCGAAAGTGCACACCAAACAAGAGAGAGTGATGCATTACCACATATAGTTAGCATTTATCTGAAAGTCCTAGCAACTTTCAGGTAGCATAACACAGCATTCCGCTAACTTCTGTGACCCTCTTGAATGTGGAGGAATCTCAGACAGAATAAGAGAAGGGAAAAAAGGGAATTATATTTGACCTTTATAATTGGTAAGTAAAAACCTGCTACAGTTGGTCTATCCTTGCATAGACTGTCTAGATGCCCCTACTTTATGATGGTTCAGCTTACTTTTTTTTCTTTATGTAAAAGCCATACATATTTGTATTTGAATTTGAATTTTTATCTTTCCCCAAGCTTGTAATGAGTATGCTATGCCGTCAAGGTACTGGGCAGTGGCAGTGAGCCAGAGTTCCCTCTCAGCCACCCAAGGAGGACACAGAACTTGACTGTGCATGGTCCTGCTAACCCTGCTGTGCTGCGTTTTGTGTTAGATGAATGTTTAACTTACTGTTAATTCCAACTTATAGTGGATCTATCAGGACAGAACCTCATTGTGGAGAGGGATCTGACTTTTACTGTAAATGTAAAGTTCAGAGGAATTAGGAGAAAAGAGCCACTAAGAGTAATCAAAGCCATAATGAAGGTTATTATCTTTGAAAATATTTCAGAGAGCGTTGCTAAATGTAGCTCCGGTCCTGACCAGTCCCAGCCTGTCTTGCTAAATGTAGAGGGACCTGTTTTTTGTTTTTTATAACGACATAGTCACATGCCCCCACACAGACCCTATTACCTAGAGTGTCTATCTTCCAGCCCAGACCTCAGACAAGCTGTCCCTCCGGCTCTCCTGCAGGGAGATTCCATCTCCCTGAGACTTCCCACAAGTGTGCTGAGTCACATGCTATGGCCTCCTAAGCAATTTAACTTGCACAACTTTACAGTCCTGTGAAAACTCACATACTTGACTTAAAACAGCACATACATGACCACTATAATGACATTAATTATAGAAAAGTGGCCTCCTGGTGATGGGTTTAGCATGCACGCGCATATGTGTATGTGTGTGAGAGAGAGTTTAGTATGTGTGTGTGTGAGAGAGAGAGAGAGAGTTTAGAATGTCTGTGTGAGTTTAGCATGTGTGTGTGTGTGCACACATCCGCATACACTGACCATGTCTGTCCTCTGTGTTCCCCAGCCCCTGTTCATGAAGTTCCATACCCTGAGGAAATAAAATCTTTTTTACCTGACCCCCAGCTTATGCTGTCAAACAACAGTAAGGGATGCTTCCTGGTTGTGTCCCCAGAAATTCCTAGGGGAAAATACTCAGAATTTTCTCTAGCAGATGTTTAAAGTGTCAATTATTTCTAATTTCTAATTTTTAAGTGACTCTGTTTCTCTACCACTAGAATGGGCTTTCAATTCATCCTCCGGCTCTTGCTTGCAGGCATCTCCTCCCATGCTGCGCCATAGTTATTATGTCTAATTCTTCTAATGTCTCCAAACATACATAAATATTAAGATACCCAGAGCCCAGGCATAGTATGGTCAGCCACTCCCAGAAGTCTGCTCTGCAAGCTTCCTTCTAATCTCTCGGTTGCAATGGGAAAGCGTTTTCCCACTCAACACGCCTCCCTGTGTTTACTTGAGAGACACCCGACACGATACCTCTTCTTGAAAACACATCTCCCTCGTTTCTGCATGGCAGCACATCTCCACCAGCTGCATAAAACCCTCACCAATGGACAGGAATGCCTCTTCTGCTGCCTGTGGTTTCTGCTTCACGAGGTTACTGAGGAGCCTAAAGCAGAAATAAGAGGGGGGATAGCAGTTAGCACCTGGGCTGGCAAGGTCAGCTGCAGGCTGTGTTACTGACAGACCCGCAGACCATCCTGGTCTTCCCCTCACTCCCACTCGCTTCAGGTGAGAGATTTTGAAAAGTGACATCATGGCCTCATAGTGTACTCCATGTTCATCTCTAGCTTCGTTTTTTATAAGCATTTTTCTGCAATTCTACTTTTTGTTTGTTTTTACAAGACAGAATTTCTTTTTAGCTTTGGAGTCTATCCTGGAACTCACTCTTGTAGTCCAGGCTGACCCTGGAACTCACAGAGATCTGCTTGCCTCTGCCTCCCGAGTGCTGGGATTAAAAGCGTGCACCATACCACCGCCTGGCCTGCAGTTCTACCTTCTTCTTCTTACTTATTTATTTATTTGGTTTTTTGAGATAGGGTTTCTCTGTATTGTTTTGGAGTCTGTCCTGGAACTTGCTCTGTAGACCAGGCTGGCGTCAAACTCACAGAGATCTGCCTGCCTCTGCCTCCCGAGTGCTGGGATTAAAGGCGTGCACCACCAATGCCCGGCCCCAATTCTACCTTCTTAACATAAACATCACATCACTTTAGTGATCATTTTGTAATTCTTGCTAAGGTAAGCTCAGAGTTTCCCATCTCCCAATATTAGTACCTCTATAATACCCTCATTTTTGTCTTTGAGTCAGAAAGCCTGAAGCTTTACTGTCTGAACCCAGGTGCAGACTGTCAGAGAAGGAGCAACTTAGAACTTTGAAGAATTTGCCTTTATACCCATTTATGGCTGTGATAGTTTTCATCAAATAGATACAAAGACAGCTGAGGACACGCTACGGTCTATTTCTCTGTCCCCAGACACTCAGGTCTAAGCATGGCTCTCCTCCCTGCTGTCCCAATATGGGGAGCTCGCCTGAACCAAGCAGGTCACGGGGACTTTTGTTTGCAAGACTGGAATGCTTCCTGCTCTTTGTTGTCTCTTAGTCACTAGCACACATGTCCCAAACATGGGTGACACAGAACAGGTCGTGGGCAGCAGTGGGTGTGGTCACCAGCAGAGCAGATTGGGCTCTAGAAGTAAGAGGGAAGCAAGGTAATGAGAACGTAGCCCTCTTGGCTCCCCAACTCCAACTCAAATGGTGCCCGAGGGTCCTGCAAACCCTGGGGAGGGGTGGCCTGCACGCCCAGCACGGAGCAGTAAAAGCAAACTTTCAGTTTGGCGCTGCTCCCATCTGGCACACTTCCTTCAAATTCCTGCTTCTGTCAGGCATGATGCTGCATACTGTGAATCCCAGCGTTTGGGAGGCAGAACCAAGAGGATCTATGAGTTCAACGCCAGCACGACCTACGTAGCAAGTTCCAGATCAGCTAGAGTCACATAGTGAGACACTGTCTCAGAACACAGAAATTCCCACATTCCCCACCAACTAACACCCTTCCCCCACCTGAGGACACACAGGGCTAAGACAGTTAAGGGCTGTCAGCAGCACAGTCCACACAGTCTTCAGAATTTTCCAGAAGACATGATTGGCTTTTGAAACACAGCATTGCCTACTTGTGCTTGAATGACACACTTTTCTTCTGTTTGTCTGTGTATAAATGATTATGTATATAATGATCACAGTTACATTTATCCTAAAAACAAATCAATATTTAATAGAGAAATCAGAACATACAGTGTTTCTAGCCAACTGTTCTATCCATATCCAGTCCTCATTCTTAACTAGACCTAACCCAAAATGCTCTTGAACGGAAACACTCTGTGTTTGAGTGTATAATCGAGTCAGTTTATGCCGCCTTTGAATACTAATTACCAGACTGTAACAAACTGATTATTTAGACTGAGAAACATTCTTTCCCACTGCAGTTTGGTGGGTTTTGTCTCAAAATACAGTTTCCTACTAACACAGAATCACTTGTGGCACTGAAATGAACCTGCAAAGAGACTTTACCTCAAGTCTCAGGGCACAGAAGCCATCACGGGTGCCTTGGAGAAGATCGAATCACGAACCTTGGCAGCCTACACCACCAGGCTCCCCTGTTTCTAGATATCTGTTTGCAGCCCCTCTATCTGGCCTAGGGCATTAAGCGTCCCAACGCAATTTAAGGAGACGGGCTTTCTATTAGCTAAGGCAAACTCTGTAAGGTCATAAACTATGGTGTGGGTTAGTTCCTCCACTGACTGGTCCACCCTGCATGTATACGAGGAACATTTGTGTACGTGTGCTGCAAGGGTTTTGTGAGAGCCAAGGTACAGATGGTGTATTAAAAGACTGAGTATAGAGCCTACCGTTGCACCTGGCACATTGAAGATACTCAACAAATGAGTCTCAAAAGAAATACAATCTGTGACAGTGATGGTGGTGGCGTAGGACCACTTCACCCATTTTAAAATATGTTTCTTTGACCCAAAGTCTCCTTTCTCTCCCTCCCTCCCTCCCTCCCTCCCTCCCTCCCTCTCTCTCTCTCTCTCTCTCTCTCTCTCTCTCTCTCTCTCTCTCTCTCTCTCTCTCTCTCTCTTACACACACACAGAGAGAGAGAGAGAGACAGAGAGAGACAGAGAGAGAGAGAATCTCACTCATCACAGCTCTCCTACACTAGCAAATAATCAGGGAGTGTCTTGACTATTCTAATGAAGTCTTCCGTTATAATGATGCCCCTCATATGCACTTCCCTCTATCTTCTGACTCACAACTGCGAGCTCCCAAATGAGCTGACACCTCCTGGAAATGCCTTTCATTTCCCTCCCCCAAAGCAATGGGCATTCTTTCCCTCCTGCCACTAAGCGAGTTTCTGGGTGCAGTTCTCAGAATGGCCAGTAGAGGGAGGAAGAGCACACGTGCTGAGTTTGGATGTTCGCCATGTCACAAGGAGAAATGACCCTGGTGCATGTGGCTGATAAGAATGGATCTCCAACCACCAGGGTTCAGGATGAATGGAAATGAGATTCAGGACGGGAACATCGGGGAGCAGTGTTACTCTGGCCACTCCGAACACAAAAGCTGCCGTTCCTACAAAGCGGATGCTGGTGGGAGGGCTGTGCTGCCTCAAGGCAGGCTCACCCCACACAGGCACACGGGGAGTCCCTCTGGGGTTGCCTTACCTCTCCTGTCCCCTGCTGCTCCCCAGCCCCAATCTAGACTTGGCAGCCTCTAGTCCTCTCGTATTTTCCCTACTTCAGTTTCTAGTTTACCTTTTAGATTTTTATGTCCTATTTAACCTTTATTGCTTCCAGTGTGTTTCCAGGGTTTTGTTTCTACAGTATTCAGAGTTTGTTAAATTATTTATCATTTCATTTAAAACAAATGCTTCTGTTTATATACTTTTTAAAATTAACTATCAAATTATGTTTTGTAATTGCTTTTAAATTTTTTCTTTGAACTTCTATTACCTATTTTCTTTTATTCAGTACTGGAGATCAAAGACAAAGCCTTACCTAGGATGAGTATATACTCAGCTATATAATCATTGTATACACTGAGCTATGTCCCCAGACCTCTTTTTTAATCGTATTTTTAAAATTTAAATTAGAAACAAGCTTGTTTCACATGTCAATCCCAGCTCCCTCCCCTCCCCTCCTTCCCTTCCCCTCCTTCCCTTCCCCTGCAGTCCCCCCAACCCCCAGCCCAATCCTGACTTCACTCCCCAGGGAGGGTGAAGCCCTTCATGGGGGATCTCCAGAGTCTCATTTCATCAGGACAGGGCCTAGACCCTCCCCCATGTGTCCATTCTTATGCCAGGGATAAATACTAATCTACTACCTGAGGCCCCACAGATTGCCAAGGCCTCCTCACTGACAACCAAATTTAGGGGATCTCCCAGACCTCTTTTATTTCTTATTTTTATAATTTTTTTCAGATTTGAGACAGTCTCACTACATAGCCCAGGTTTGCCTAGAACTCACTGTATAGCCCAGGCTTGCCTAGAACTCACTGAATCCTTCTGAATAGCTAGGACTCAGGGTTTGTTCCAGCAAGCCTGGTTACTATTGGTTACTATTTCCTTTTATCTCTTACTTCTCAGTTTTCTATGACCTCAATGTCTGCTTCCTGTCCCTGTTGTGTGGTCTCAGAGTAAGCCTTTACTTTTTCATTCCTAGTTTCTTCTAAAATGATACACTGATGTTGCCTACCTCAGGAATTTACAGTGAGGATTTAATGAAGTAATAACTTAAATTGGTACCAAGATATGTCCAGGGCACATCTTCAAAGAGCAGCAACTCTAGTTTCTAAAGGGGAAATTAACTTCTTTCTTATAGTCTCACATCAAGCCTAGGCTAATTGTCACTAACTTACAGAAGCCTTTACTGGAAAGATCCAATATTTAGTGTATAGTGTTTAGCTTAAATACTACAGGCTTATATACATTTCCATGGCCTAATATTAATTTGTAAGGCATTGTTCATCCTTGTTCTCATCTTTCCCTTGAGGTCCAACTACAGATTAAGAATATAATAACTATCGCATTTTCACTTAGCCATCAGGTAATAAGAATGAGTTCATTCTTATTGGAGGGAGGAAAATGATGTAATTATATTATAATCACAACATATACATTATGGAAAGAATGTGTTCTTAACACAGAGTGCCTGTGAAGAATTTTTCACTGAAGTTTCAGAGGTAGAATTGTGATGGGAAGTGATGAGAAAACAGACTTCTAATCAACAAAAGGATGGGTTTCTTATAATTAAACATTTCTAATGATGCAATAAGCAGCAGTAACTGTGAATATTTATAAAGAGACTCAATTAGGTGTTGGGAGGACTTAAAAATCTCCCTATTTCATGCTGCTTTGACTTCATAGAAAATGCTTATATACTATAGTTACTGTAGTGTGAGCATCTAGGGACATCTTGTCTTATAGTAAGTCACTGTAAAGCTTTATTTGGTGCCAGGAATTGCATTTCAAGAGGAAAAGGAAGGGTAGGGAATGTAGCTAATGGGTCAGTGCTTTCTTAGCAAGCACAAAGTTCAGAGTTGATCACATAAATCTAGTGTATGCCTATAATCTCAGCACTCCAGAGGTAGAGAAAGATCAGTAGTTCAAGGTCATCCTTGACTGCATAGTGAGTTGAGGACAGCCTGGACTACAACAAGACCATGCCTCAAAACCGGAAAGAAATCAAGGATTTGAAGACTTGTATTCATTGGTACTGCACTGCTACCAACTGTCACTTCCTACTACCATCCAAAAACCTGCTCTTCCTAACAGCTGCTCCCAATGGCAGCTGAAAATGAATATAAGGGCATGCTATGAGGTAATATTCCCCACTCGGATGGAACAGTTCAAAGGACTTCCTCAACATACAAGTCCTGTAAAATGCTAGTAAGTTCTGCTATCTAAATGATTCCTTTTAGACTTATAATTAATTAATTAGTGTGAGTGTGTGTGTCTATGTGTGCATGCATGAGCACATCAGGCCCCTTGTAGCTTTAAATACAGGTGGCTATGACTGACACCCCCTGGCAAGGATTGCTGGGAACAAAACCCAGGTCTTCTGCAAGTACAGTGTGCCCTCTTAACCACTGAGTAATCTTTCCAGCTCCCTAACCAAACAGATCGCTTTATTGCAGGGCTCCTCTGACTTCCATTTCTAGGGTGTAGTGCTTCTTTCCTAGGAGAAAAAGAAAATGAACCACTTCCAAACTTCTTTAACAGAAGGTTTTCTGCATAGAACACCCTACCACACTAATGCCTGGACTTCGACATTTTGGAGAAATTATATTCATGTATCCTCTGCCAATATTTTCTTAAAAATTTGCTTCATTCTCATTAACTGATCAAGCAGGGATTGCAACACAGTAGCTATACTGGCTAATTTGTCTAATACATTTAATTCCATCTGATTTCCAACAGAACACCTAGTTGCTGTTTTCATTATGTAAAAGTCGTATCAGTATCAGTAGCTGGCTTAAATTTCTCCACATCATCCCCCTTGTTGGTAGCAAAAACCAAAGTGAAAGCAGACTTACTTTTGCTTTTCAATTTGGAGCGCCTCCTCCTGGGCGCGGCACAACTCCTCTTCAAGGCTGATGACTTGGTCACAAGATAAAGATGGAGGAACGTAAGTTTCATCGACTTGCAGGTCATCAAAGCACGGCTTCCTGAAGGCATAGGAGTTGTCGCAGCAGTGGCCCACTCCGGCATTGACAGGCTTGGTATCATGTCTTCTGCACAGAGCTCCAAGTACCAGCTTTGCCTTTTCCAAACGAGAGTCAAAGTGAGAGCGGTGAGTTCGTGTTTGTTATCCTTTTATCCATAGACAATTAGATTGTATCTGTGCATCCCCAAGCTGGACTGTGTTCTAACACCACCTAGGTTTCACTTTGGGGGAAACAGAAGGTTATCAGTGTGGACTGAGGCCCAGCTTATGCTCCCTCTTCATGTCGCTGTCAGGTTGAGGTGCACTTGAGTCAGCTCGAGGTTCCTTCTTCTATCATCTGATAGACCTGCTTTAGCATGAGATTAGTGTCTTAGACGTGCCCAATACCACCAAATGCAGCATCAAGCCCGCCACACGGCCAGTGTGACTTGGATGTGCAGGCTGGTGAGACTTCTCTGTAAACTCCATTTCAGTGTCTTCTAACTGAGTAACAGACATCTGCAACCAACAGCAGAACTGACACACAGTAGGTGCTCCAGGGGTGTTTAAATGCATGATCAGGGAGCCTGGTCCTGTTTCCGTTATCTCCCTTGTTTTCTCGACCCCTTCTAGAACTGTCTCCTTATCTTGCTCCCACTCCAGTGCTCACAATACAAATACTCACCCAAGTGTCTGCTTGTGTGATTCTCTGAGTACACTGGCCACCCAAATACCCTGTCGCTCATGTATGCGAGGATGAAGTTATTCTAACCATTCAACACAAACACTGAATTATGAGTTCATCCATTTTAAAAGTAACCAAGACAACTTCCCCAAAGCAAGGCTCTAGGAACAGATGAATCTAATCAGATGAATTCCCCAAGGAAGGCACGATTCCATAACAACAACGAAAAATTAAGTTAAAATGAAGGTAGGGCTAGATAATAACTGCAGATCTTTAATTAAATAACTGCTTTATTAGAAGTAAGGCTTAGCAAGTTAACATAAAGGATACAGTCTAGCGTGAACATAGGACAAACAAAAGTATCACTAAACAAGAATTTAGAAATGTTGAGGCCATGTGTCTTGAGAGACCTAGAAGCTAAATCTCAGAGGTCTGAGCACCCTGCAGTTCAGGGACAGTCTCCATGGTGAAGAAGGAATGGTTATAACTGTGATTCTTGTCCAGAGATCCTGGAGGAAATGTACTCAAGGCCATCCCTGCCCTTCCTTTCAACTCATGTGAACTAATGCTTCCATTTTATTTCAATCTCTCTAATACTTTGGTCGAGGAAAAGAGTGGCTGTTACTACAACCAATGATCTCTGGCTCTGGGAAGATGTTGCTCCTTGGGAGTGAGCATACTTCGGCATTAACACATTAAACATCATGAGTTCCAAGGGCATTCATCAGATATCTGCAGCATCTTTCAAACTCCTAACAAAGTCAGTTTTGTCAACTTTAAAACCCAAGCAGTAGACTCCTGTAAGTGACCCAGGAGAAAGTTTTCTGAATCTAATGACACAGGTTTGAGAGGGGACAATCCTCCCCTGCTGCTAATTAGAAACATTTGGCATGAGCTGCCTGGAAAGCGTCTCCCCTGAGGACTGACTATTAATCCCCCTTGGTAGGTCATAGATATGTTCACAGAAATGAGGTTTATTCCTGGGAACAGGAGAGCAGAACTTCAGACAGATGGTAGATGCCTTACAAGTGGACTTACCGCATCCTCGACACAGGTGGATTGCAGCTCATCACTTAGTGGGCAGCATCTACTGGCAGCCGCTGCCATCTTCCTCGTGAATGTCACCAACTCCTGCGAAGACAGCTGTGGGGCTTTCTTAGTATAAAGGACTGTGAGCCTAAAACAATAAGTTCTTCTTACTCATGGTAATATACACACATGCAAATACCCGTCTACACCAGCAGTTCTCAATCCGTGGGTCCCGACCCTGTTGGGGGTCAAACTTTCACAAGGGTTGTTTCCTGGATACCCTGAATATCAGAATTCACATTTTGATTCATAACAGTAGCAAAATTACAGTTATGAAGTAGCAACGAAATAATTTTATGGTTGGGGGTCACTACAACATGAAGAACTGTATTAAAAGGTTGCAGCATTAGGAAGGTTGAGAACCACTGATTGACAATTTCCCACGATATGCGACATTATCTCTGATGTAGGAGGAACGAGGCTTTAGACTAGGCTTAATGACCTCTTCCGCCCTGTTCCGTGGGTAATTAGACACAATTGCCATTGTCCTCACACTCATACCCGCCTCCATCCTAACCCATCTTTATTGGACCAATCAAGGATACCTTCAGAGCTAAAAATTAGACCTAGAGTTAAGCAGTTTCTGGGAGGAGCCGTGATGAAACCCCCAGCGGCTTGTGTGGAGCAGCTCGCATTCTCCAGGGACTCCCACCCCAGATGGCAGGGGAAGACAAGCACAGTGTGGGCGGTGCAGAGAGCTATGGTGCTGTGAGCTAAGTCCGAACTTTAAAAAGGCTCAAGTCTCTGGCCCAAAACGAGGGAAGGACTTGCCTCCCCTCCCCCTTTCTTAGTGCATTCACTTAAGAAAACCTTGAATGGATTTCTCCCTCATTGAAGCGCATACAATACGCATTTTAAACCATTTCCATCAACTCTATAAGGCAGCAATGTCTTCTTTGGGGACCCAGGATCTAGGGACATAGCAGCTCCCCTTTCTCCCAGCTTTTTGGTGTGGGGAGAGATTGGCCTCGGGAAGAACCCTTCTGCAAGTTATAAAGTTCCTCATTGCTTGAAGACATAAGAAGGGTTTTGGGGGCCGGGGCGGGGGACGGGCCTGTCGATTTCTAGAGACTTGGTTCATGCGAATTAGGACCATTAGCAGGTAAAGCTAGGGTGAGTTTTGACAAGTGGGACTGTCAAATCATCTTCAGAATGAGCTCACCAAATATTGTGCGGAATAGGTTGTTTCTGCTTAGCTGTGTTTGGGGAATGTGACTTCTGTCTGTTTCTACAAGCTGTTAGTGGACACACATCACATTTGGGATGCACATCTCATTCTGGTTTAATGTTTACTCAATTAAGAAGAAACTAGTGTATTTCAATACTACCTTGAAAGGTTTTGTTCCTAATGATAGCTCCCAGACAGTGCATAAAAGACAACCTATTTCCCTTTTCAGGGGGCCAGGCAGGGCATCCAGAAGAAAGGTCTTCAGAACTGAGAAACGACAACGTCTCTGGAAGAGCCAGGTGACAGGCATAGGATAGGAGGACTTGGAAAGTCATTAACTGTGTTTTTTTGGGGGGGTGTTTTTTGGAGGTTTGGGGGGGATTAGATATGAAATCAGTTTCAACATGTCTTAAGGTAATGACTTCTTTGAGAAGAATTCACTGAGGATTCCCAACGTCACAGCAGGGAATCGAGCTATTTTAAGTCTGGCTCTGGCAACCCAAGAAAAAGAAAATGACCTGAGTTTGGATAGTTGGGTTGATAACAGAAAGACATGAAGTGGTTTTAAAGAGAAAGACTACAGAACCGTGTTCAAGGCCACAAACAATTAAATTAATTGATGCATTGCTAGTAGAAAATGCACATGGAAGAAAGACAGTTTCTACAGCAGCCAGGGAGAGTCTGAGGCCTGGGTTCTAATGTCTTCTGAAAAGCTTTGTTGTGTTCTGAAGTGGGCATTAGGAACTGAACACAACATAATAGAAAAGCACTGAGCCAAAAGCCCTGTCTTAAAGAACCAGGACACGTTCTGTGATCCATTATTTTGGACATTTAATTCAAGCTCGATATTATGAGATACTACATCAAACTGAACTTTTCTTTAATACTGTGCTTCTAAATAGACCATTCTAGTAAGACCTCAGAGATTCCCAGCATGGGCTTTACTTTTAGATTACTTAATCCTTGATAAATAGAATTCCCCAGGCTCTCAATACCCAAGGTGTTCACATTCTCTTTGACAAATAACTAAGGGATCCATGTAGCTCTACACTTGATGGTCAACATTCTAGCCTTGCCTGACAAACCTGACTTGAAAGTGACACGGAATCCTGGATTCCAATCTCTGTTGCCAATCTCTATTGCAGCTTTGACTCTAAGTCACAGTCACAGCCCCAAGGTAAATGGTCAGGTATGAGAGTTCATGGTGGCCCTGAGAGGCCAGTTTACCTGCCTTATCTCAGGGGCATCTGGGGAACTGGCCTTGGAAGCAAGATGGGGGCTACCAAAGTTACACAAATATCTGTTGAATCAGCACAGAGGGCTGGTTAATGCTCAACTCAAGAGTGGGTGCAAACTCTGAACAGCTCTTAGCATGGGGATTAACCAACAGTCAAGGATGAATCTGGGCCATCTTAGGAACATACCTGTCCTGGAAGGCAGGGCCCCCTAACTTCTGGTATAAGTCACAGTGAGTTTTAACACGGTCACGGTTTTCACAGACCACTCTTTGGAACATCTCTTTCTGAAAAATAGACATTGTTAGTGTTTTTCCAGGGTCACAACAATGTGCCTTTAGTTAGGATAACAAATACATTTTCCTGAATAGTTTAATAACAACATTTACTTAGCCACCCATTTTTTTCAGTTAGTGAATTTGAAAAACTTAAATCATGTTTTTTTTCTGAAAAAGAAAGCATCACAAGTTTTGTGGGAAACAAGTGGAACAGCAAGACTGAGAATTCATCTTACCGTGATGGAAACTCATTTGCGGACCTAAATGACAAATTCTATAACCACAAGGCAAATCATTCATCAAGCCAGAATGAAAGAGGGAGAGGTAGTATATAGATCTATCTGACTGGTCAGTGTGTGTGTGTGTGTGTCCATTGGTTCATTTAATAATTAGGATTTTTATAATTGAAGCATACATATATACACACACACATAAAAGCTTAAAATATATAGGTATGGAGATAGATGTGTGCTAAGAAGTCATGGTCTAATATAAACATTAGAAGTCACAACTATTAAACATGTCACAAATATACACCAAAAGGAACCAAATGGGATTTTCAGAGCTAAAGATAAGCCAAAGTTTTCTTGAACCATGAAATAGACCCCAGTGAGAAGGCATTAGTAACTTGCAGACTCAGCTCTTGGACAGGAGCATATCCCTTCAGTAAGCCAACACAGTCTACTTTATACTAACAAGCAGTGTTTGGCATAGGGATAATTCCTCAGATATGTAAGCTGATGGCCTGGGTTTTATTCTTATCCATGTTTTTACTCCCGATGTAAATTAGGCAAATCGCCTAACCCTCTGAACTTTAATCTTATCTACAGAATGCACTCAGAAACTGCAGCACGGCCTGTTTTCCCAGGCTACTGAGAGATTCAGGTGAGTGCTATGGTAAGGCTGCCTACCCTCTGCCATGCATGATGCCACAGTTGTAGATTAAGCTGTCTTATTTAGGGTTGCTGTTAATAGGATAAAGCACCATGACTAAAGTAACTTGGGCAGGGAAGGGTTTATTTAGATTGTGTTTCCACTATTCATCGTCAGGCAAGTCAGGACAAGAAGGCAGGAACTGACACAGAGGCCATGGAGGAGTGCTGCTTACTGGCTTCCTCCCCATGGCTTGCTCAACCAGCTTTCTTGTAGAACCCAGGACCACCAACCCAGGGGTGGCCCCACACACAATGGGCCTGCCTATCCACATCAATCATTAACTAAGAAAATGGTCTACTAGCTTGCCTGCAGACTGATCTTTTTTTAAATATTATATTTATTTATTTATTGTATATACAGTCTTCTGCCTGCATGCCAGCAGAGGGCACCAGATCTCATTCAAGGTGGTTGCGAACCACCATGTGGTTGCCGGGAATTGAACTCAGGACCTCTGGAAGAACAGCCATCTCTCCAGCCCCAGACTGATCTTATGAGGGAATTTCTCAGTTGAGGCTCTCTCCTCTCTGATGACTGTAGTTTGTGTTGACATAAAACTGTCCAGCACAGAAGTCTGTGACTTTGAGAGGGCACATTGTCCTATTTACTTCTCTAGAAACAGAAATACTGGCTATGTCTGCTTAAGCCCAGAAACAAAAAGACACACCTTTGCTCTTTGTGTCCCCTCCCCTTTATTTATTTATTTATTTATTTATTTGCTTACTTATTTCAGTTTTTTGAGACAGGGTTTCTCTCTGTAGCTCCTGGACCTCCCTCTATAGACCAGGATGGCCTTGAACTCAGAAAGATCCACCTGCTTCTGCCTTCCAAGTGCTAGGACTACAGACTTAGGCCAGTACTTCCCAGATAGTCCCTGTTTTGTATAACCCATCGGTTAGAAAACAAAAGTCAGAACTACCTAGGCCCTGGGAATCCATGGTGGCCGACCATCAAAGCTGCAGCTTATGAGAATTCTAGCATCTCCATGGAAACCGCATAGCAAGAGCTGTGGTCAGGCAGATTGCTAGCTTGCAAGGGAAGCCTTTTCCAAGACATGGGACCCAAACAGGTTGTACTGCCCTGCTACTGTGCCAAGCTGGTGTCTGCATGCACTTCAAAGAGGACACGTGGCAATGTGGGGGTTGGTGGTATCTCATGAAGCACTCCATGAGACAGGCAAGTCACTATGGCATGTGTGTGATGGTCTGGCCTTGGTTTTCGGAGAAACCCTGCTTCTTGCCCAGTAATTGTAATTAACCAAAATACGCAAATGTATGCTACAAAAGGGTGCGCTAACAGAACTGAGATTTTCACTGTTTGTAACCACTAGTGAGAAACATGTTCAAAAATATAAATAAATAACGGAGACAGGAAGATTTCTGTGAGTTTGAGACCAGCCTAGTCTACAAGAGCTAGTTTTAGGACTGTCTCCAAAGCCACAGAGAAACCCTGCTTGAAAAACCCAAATGAGTAAATAAATAAATAAATAAATTACCCCATGGCTATGACATTCCAAAGGATTTTCTAACTTGCAACATTTCTCCAGTAAATGTTTATATGTGGTGTACACTCTTAAAATCACTGGAACTGCCAACTCCAGGTGTCTCCTTGAATATTCATAAAGAAACCTGTATTGTATAAGACACATGAGAAGACAAAAATTAAAACCCAGAGGCCATGGATTTTTTTATTGTTTTTGTTTTTATCTTAAGCCATGATGACCATGGAATTGAACTGACTTGAAGGCATTTAGAAACCTTGGGAGGCTCTTAGAAGGGCTTTATTGCTATGCTTTGAGATAAGAAAACCAAATCAATAAAATAACATGATTTTCCAAAATCACATGGTAGTGAATGGCAGATTCACTACTTGAACCTGAAACACTAGCGGATTCTGGCTCAGTGTCTAGATCCTTCTATGTGAGATCAAGTGTTTGTATGGGAAAACATATTTTCCAACAATTACCTTTGGGAATTTTTTAAAGGACCTTTCAGGAATCATATCCCCTCTCCTCCCTTTAAAAAAAAAAGCAGTAAGTGTGACTAGTCCTGTTATAATCTACACATTTATCTGAGTCATTAGAAAGAAATAAAAAGGGGACTGGAGAGATGGCTCAGTGGTTAAGCACATACACTGCTCTTGTAGAGAACCAGAGTTCAGTTCCCAGCACCTACAGGAGCTCACAACTGCCTGTAACTCCTGATCCAGGGAATCTGACATTGCTAGCCTCACTATGCACAGAACACACATGTACACCGATGATAATAATAGTAATAATATCTTTAAAAGGAAAACAAAACTGATTCTAGAATATTTTCAAAAAACAGGATTAAAATGAGGCCATTGGTGTGTTCTCATCAACTGCCTCAGTTTACCATTGGAACACATTGCCTGGGAGTTCAAGCTGCCACACAGCTTATGAATATCAAAACTAAGTTGGAACTCAGGTTCCCTGAACCCAGTTTAATGGGCCTTTTACTACTGGGTCTAGTTAGAACAGGTCCATTGACTTTTCAGTACCAAATGCAAGTTTAGGAATTTATATGAGTGCATTCAGATAGTGGTATTCAACTTTATTGGCTAACATGTAAAATACAAGTTAGGTCATTTGGCGTTGAGGAGAACTTAGTTCTCATGATTGCATAAGTGACTCTGGAGGCACTTCAATCACACAGTGTCGTAATACTATATATTGAAATCACTCTGTGTTAATGCAAAAATTATCATCTACTTCGGAATAGCCACCAATGATGTTAATATCCCAACTCCTTAATGATTAAATGCTATGTGCATTTGATAGTGTATGTTAAATTAATTGTAATAGAAATGCTAGGAATACCAATCTGATCCTCTTATTTATCCCTGAGTCCCTCATTCATTCCAATGCTTGTGACATTTGACTATCACTATGCTCTTTTTAGAAGCCCTGACACTAGCTGTCAGCATTTGAGAATAAAGGAGCTTCTAGTTTCTCTTTCATGTGTTGTTCCCAACCACCCAACCCCACATTCCTACACAGCATCGTGAGTGGAGCTGAATAACTAATGACAGCTTCAGATTCCAAAAGCATCTCTCGGCCATAGAATCCATCCCTGGCCCCATTTTCATTCATGTTTGCAACATCCCTCAACTTAATTCATAGGCACCCAGGGAAAGCAGCATTACTCTTGAAGAAAGTCGTCCTGCTTGTTATTGAATTGCTCACAGGCAGACTGGTCTTCTGTAAACCTTCTGAGTGACAGGGGTGAAAGGTTGGGCTTGTCGTCACTTCCTGAGTTGATAATACATTCGCCTCGGAATGGTTCTGGCTGTTCACAGCACTGAGCAAACTTGCTGGATAAGATGGCCTGGTTAGAGCAGGTATAGTTCATAAGCTGGTGCTAGGAGACATGAGCAGAATAGTTATTATTTGATTGCTTTGCTCTCAACTTACCTTTGAAATTAGGGTATCAGAGGGAAACTTGATACTAAACACTGCTTTACCCCAGGCAAACCAAAAGGCCCAAGGAGACATTCATCATAACTCATTTTTGGAAAGAAATACTTATCTAGTATTTTATCTTATCTACCTATTAAAAAGAGAGGAGAAGACAGATTATTTTAATTTTTTCACTTTTAGTCCAGAAACCACAGTCCTATTGTTGTTCTTATTGTAGGATCCCAGTCTGGGAAGCATTTGTCACAGGATCACATCATCCTGTCCTGGTGTAGTCCATGTTGCTATTATACTTATATATAGGCTTAAATACAGAGAGAATTGGCTATTTGTGTGAATTAGGAACTTATGACCTACTCAAAGAGTCAAATAACTAAACAAAACAACCACAAAATGTTAATAATAGGAGATCAATACGATTCTTCAGAAGAAATCAATGAAATTGACAGTCTAGATAGGATGGAGGTCACGGTGATCGTCTTGAATGACTTGAGTCACGAAGGATAATTAGAAGTTAATTTGAAACAAGTGAAGACAAAGACATCCTAGAATTATTTATTCTTATATGTATATAAAATCTTAGCAGTAAGAAAGCATGATGCAGTTGGGATAGGGTCATTTGAAAGTCTTTGAGGGAATTACTTGCGGCTTGGTTCAACTCGGGGCTACTAAAAAGACGCTTTGACAAAAGGGAGTGAAGGGAATGAGGAGACAGGACCCAGGATTAGCTGGGACAGTGGGAAGTATAATTCACTAAGACGCATGTTTAGGGACAAGAACCGATGAGGAAAACGGCTGAAGAGTGAGACCAAAGAATTTCCTGGGGGTGTTCGGAGTACAGAACGACTTCAAGGCATTTACAGGGAGACTTGCCCTAAGCAGCAGTGGGTATCACAAAAGCTAGGAAAGGATGACATGGAAACCTAAGTCTAAAAGTCATACAGAAGACAAATCATGGGGTCAGTTTGAGTCTCCGAAGGATGTGTGAGCTGTGTGTGAGCTGGTTAACTGGGGAGCCAGCATGCTCTTGGTGGCTCAGCACTGTTACAGAGGAAAGGTGATTCCTCCGAGCAGCAGTTCCAGGAAGGAGGATCAGCTTTTTTAATGTCTACCTGTGGCTCCTGGTGTTGCCTCTAGCACTAGACATTACTGGGATGAGAGTGTGATGGGAGAGAAGGGGCCAGAGACAGAAACATCAGGATTAACAAGAACCAAACCAGTGTTCAAAGAAAGACAGACAGGGAGCCCTTCTTCATCTAATGAACAGAGCATACTGAGAAAAAGCTCATGGCATACAGTTGAGGTATGGTTCTGTAGAAATGTCCTGGCAAAGATCAAGATGCTTGGGGTGGGGTGGGAGGGTGGAGTGGGAGATAGGGATGGAGGGCGCTTTCTCCCTTAGGTCACTAGTTCACTCCTATTCTCAGGAGTTCCTTCTCTTTTGCAACAAATGATCTCTATTCCCATTTCTAACCATGTGTCCCTGTTACACACAGGAATCTATAGGTACTTCAACAAGTGCCCCAGGCCACCATGGCCTTTGCTATAACAGGAGTGAGTGTACTGTAGAATGGAACCTAGGAGACAGCTGTATGCTGGACCTCAAATGACCGCAATAACTTTTAACTAGGACTCAAGCAAGTGGCCCCACCTAGTTTTCAGACAGGCAGGAAATACAATTCATGCCCAGAAAACAGTCTAGACAGGAAGAGAAGAGAGAGCCCTTGCTGGGTGAGCTCCAGCGTTGCCAGGGTACATGCAGAAAGAAAGAATGTGAACAGAGCTGCCTGGAATACTGAATTTCAAAGGATAATAAGAAAAGGAGAGAGAAATGCTGGTGGAAAAACCTGTAAGGACAGAGATATTCCAAAGTGAAACATTTTCCCTCCATCTGCTGCAGTGGAGAAATAAATTAATGTTGTGGTTGACAGCTAAGTGCTGTCCTTGAATTGTTACTTCCTGACTGTGAATTAGGGAAACTTTCTCACCACCTTGTACCTCAACTTCCTAGTCTGCAAAATCGGTAATAAAAATACTTGATAAGACTGTGGAAAGTAAATGAAGTATTTTTCAGGACTAGATAAAAGTGAAAGGGTTAGACTTGGTACTGGGCACTAGCATTTTAAAAATGAGTGTTGTAGCAATTACACACAGTCTTAAATGGTTGTTCCTACAGGGCTTCAGGGTCAGAGGGAAGCTGAGAGAACCTTCCTGAGTTTTAATAATTTACATGAGAATATTGCATTAGAACAATATCGAAGATTAATGTTGGGACTAAGCATACTCCTTTTGGTCAGGGTAGAGCTGTGAATCAATATGGAGAAATATAACAAGTGCTGGAAACAGTAGACAAGGCTTGTAGACATCCAGCTCTACTGTGTGCAATATAAAGATATTCCTCAGAGCAATAGGAGAAATGATCTAGTCAAGAGAGAAATCTATTAATACAACGCGAATAGTGGGAGACGGTACATAAAGGAAATTACTGGTTTGGAAGTGTAATTCAGTAGTGTAGCACTAGCTTAGGGGGTACAAGGCCCTATGGTCAATCCCTAACACCAGAAAGGGAAAAATATTGTTCAAAATAAATAGTTAACACTATGCATTTAAAAGAATGAGAATACCACCAAGCAGCCAATCAAAACATCTGTGATAGAAGCAACAGACAAAACTAAGAGGAAAATCAATATAATTAAAAGCATAAACCCAGCAAGTGAGTCCAAGAATTTGTTTTGGAGAAGGCCAATAAATTAAACTGTCACTTTTCAGAGCCAATTAATTAAAAAGAAGCCCAAATACACAAGAAAAAGGGCATGCGATTACATAATTAATGGTGTTTTCATTTCAAATGGTAGCATCCTCTAGAGTTCTCTATCCATAAATGAGAAGATGACAATAAGTGAGATGTTTTGAAGAAGAATTCCATTAAATGCATGACAAAGTAAACAGTTGTGTCTCTGTCTAAACACTGAATTGGTATGTACTGAATCAATGCCACTCCCGAAAAAATACAGGACTCCCATGAGGCCCTGGCCTCACCACTAACTAATTAACTAACCAATGGAGACATAGCCTTGCTTAGTGCATGCCTCAGCCAGGTGCCTTACTTAATGTGAGCTGCTGTTTCCTCAACATTGAAATCATAGTCAATTGCACAACAACATAAGCATGGAGGAAACTCATCTAGTATGCACATTTTTTTCCTAGCAGACACATCATCTTGTAGTTAAGACAGCATTTCATTGCTGTGTTTGATCAACCTTGAGCATCGGAATTACCAACAAAGCTATCGCCATTAAGCATACTGCAGAACAGGGACGTTTGTTTACACTGTGAGAGCTGAAGTGAATACAGAACAGCGCCTTGTTCAGCCTCACAAAGGTGTAGTATGTGTGCATTGGGCGGATCAAATTTTTGGCTGCTCTGAGCATGTGTTCGCCTGGGAACAGCCATGGAAGTGCTGTGAGTACTGATTTTACATCTGGGGAAGCAGATTAGTTCAGAATTACGGACTCCACGAGCAATGAGGATTTGCTGGAAAAGCACCAAGACTGATGTACAGCAGAAGACACGGAAAAGCGTCCATTAGTTTCTATATGTACCTCATCCTCAGGTTCAGTGAACAAATTCAAATCCTTCCAAAACACACAACCTCAGTCCTATCTGGAAAATGTTAAAGGGCTACATGGCTCAGTGGTTAAGACACTGGATTCTCCCTCGAGAACCAGGGTTCAATTCCTAGCACCCACTCAGCAGCTTGCAACCGGCTAAAATTTCAATCCCAGTGAGTCTGATCTTCTTCTAGCCCTCTTGGGAGTTGCACATGCATAGTACACAGACATATAAGAGGAAGATCACACAAGTACACATAAAATGAAAATAAATCTTTTTAAAGGAAGAAAATAAAATTCATTTTCAGAAATGAGCATAAACGAATACCCCAACTTTATAAAGTATATGGAAACAGTAATAGCTTGAATGAGAAAATTCTAACATAAACATATAAACATGGCAAGTCCAAAAATACAGCAAAATGAGATCTGTAAAAGTGGTTAAGAGGTAAGGAATATGTTTTCACTATGTCTTTCTGGCGGGTGTTTGTGTGTACATACTTGAGTGTATGAATGTGAGAGTGTATGGGTGTGAGTATATGAGTGTGAGTGTGTGAGTGTGTGAGTGTGAGTGTGTGAGTGTGTGAGTGTCAGTGTATGGGGTGTCAGTGTATGAGTGTCAGTGTGGGTGCAGGTGCATGAGCTCTATGGCACATGAATGGGGTCAGAGGACAACCTTGAGTGTCAGCTCTAGTCCTTCCATCTTGTCTGAAGCAGGGTCTCTTGTTATTCACTGCTGCATTAGCAGGGCTAACTGACATGAGACCTTCTGGGAATTCTCCCGCCTCCAGCTCCCTTCTCATTGTGGGCACACTAGGATTACAGATGTATACCACTACAGATGTCCAACTTGACACGAGTTCTTAGTCCTCACACTTGTATGACAAGTACTTTCATTTATAAAATCCATTTGTGAATAAGTCAAAAGATAGAAAAATAACCATACAAGGATGAGAAAATAGTACCTACATACTGATGTTCAGAACTGTGGGGATATTTTGTTTATGATATAACAAATAAAACTTGCCTGAAGATTAGGGTACAAAGTTCAAAGTTAGCCGCACTAGTCAGCCATAGAGGCCAGGCAGTGTGGTACACACCTTTAATCCCAGCACTCAGGAGATGGGGGCAGATGGATCTCTGTTAGTTCAAGGCTACCCTGGGCTACACGAAATTGACTCAATCTAAAAAAGAAACAGAACTCACAAAAAGGTGATCCCAGCACTTGGAGTGACACTCCTTTAATCCCAGCACTAAGGAAGTAGAGACAGGAAAGGATGTGGCTAGACAGAGAGAATTTAAGATGGGAGGAGACAGGAGCTCAGTGCAGTCTGAGGAGCAGTGCAATCTGAGGAGAGGATCGTCCCTTTGGTCTGAGCATTGATAAAGGTGAGAACTCTCTAGTGGATGGCCGCTCTGCTTCTCTGATCTCCAGTTTTAACCCCAATATCTGACTCTGAGTTTTTATTATTAAGAACAATTAGAATTCATGCAACACAGAACCCATTCACAGTAAAAACAAATGAACAAAACCTCCCTAAAGAATAATGAAAACTCTTTGGACACATAAGCACTATCTTTGGCAAGCCATTAACCCCAGGGCTATTTCCGTTACAATCAGGACCAGGACAGGATTGCCAGAACAATTTGCAGTTACTTGAGCTTGTTTGTGAATAGGAACATTAAAATCAGGGAAGTGCAGATTGTTCCGGCTTGCCTGCTGCAGACCATCCTGCAAGAGCACTAATTCTGAGGTCACTGGCTGGGTAAAGGTATCGTCTATGTGTTAAGGAAGGGCTTTCTCAGATTTTTGTCTGAACTGGGTTCTATCAGGACCACATGTCCCTTTACTTTTTGGTCACATGACTCTACTCTTCAGTCAGAGAGGATCGGTGAGTCCTCCCTATGAGGTGAAGCTCTGTAGTGGAGCACTTGACTGGCAGATGCAAGACCCTGGGCTCAATACAAAACGCCAGCACCCCAAAGCATGAAAAATAGCATTGGTCGTGATTCTGTCCATTACCCAGTGTTCTAGGAATTGGGGGTGGCAGCTGCCGCTGTCCATGAGTGGCAGAGTCGAATGTAGCACTATCAGTCGCAAAAAGGTGTTGCTTGAGCCTACACTCTGTCCCAGTGGAGGTGAAGTTTGAAGATTTGCAATCTCAGGGATCTTCCTGTTTGCCCATTTTATTGTTATTTCAATTTGTATCTTCTAAATTGTGTGGGATGGGAACTAAAATGGTTGGGGGCAGAGAGCTTTGCCCACAGGTTTCTGAGTTTTCTCATGAAATGATGCTTCAGCTCGTCTTGGTCTTGGTCTCTCTGTCTGTTTGTGGTGAGAACCAGTCACCCTTCAGACTTGCAGAAATCCCTAAGAACATGACTTGGGACTTGCTAGAGCCTTAGGATGCATGGGCAGCCTCAGTTTGTTCCTTTCTTGGGACCTGGGGACTTTATATTGGATAAGACACAGGTCTTTGTCCATGTGCCAATGTCCTGTGTGTCCCACACCACATTGATAGGTTTCCTTTCCTGCTGGCTGGCATCAGATGCAATTCTAGGTCTTATGCAAGAATCTACAGCAAGAATGGAATACAGCTGTGATTTGGAAGAGAGTTGTGGTCATTTCTAAAAGTCTAACAAGTAAAGGAGTGAGAGAAATAAGAAAAGGGAAGGAGGAAAATTATTGCACGAGTTGGGGACAGAAAGAACAAAGATGGTATTCTACTGGTAAAAAGAAGAGATCATTACTTTTCTAGCTTTATTATTTTTTTTCTTTTTCTTTTTGTTTTTTTTTTCAGGGGAGAGCGCGAACGCAGTCCCCCACTACCACAAATTATGCAGTCGAGATTGTCAAAGAATAAATTTAATTAATAAAAATATTTTTAGTTATAAAGAAAGAAGAGATGTCTTACCCTGCCCAGAACACATGCCATTGTATTTCCTTCACAACAGGTCTCATGCAGATTTTTAATATCTGTGGTCAATTTGGCAATTTCAGAAAAATTAGCTTTAGGTTGCTTTTTAGTGAGCAGAATCAATTCTCTGTAAAGAAAATTAAATATATTTAAACTGCATTTTTTAGAAAAAGAATAATAGTCTGTTTTTAGTAATTATTCCTTTTTGAGATTATAATATAATTATATCATTTCCTCCTTCCTTTTCCTTAATATTTCGAATTTCTACTTCAAGTAACCCAAAGTGTCTAAATCTAGCAACTATTAAGAGGTGTTTTCTACTTTGGTTATTATACATAGACCCACACAAAGATCAAATCTCAATAATGTCAACTACAATAATTTTTATCACTTAAGGATCTGCTAAATACACTGAGTTGCTAAGATATTGAAACATACAACTTGATAACCTTAGAAATATGGGCAATTATCTCTGCAACATCAACCTCATTGCAAAGACAAGTATATGAAGCACAGGACTCCTTTGTGACCATTGGGATGTCTCTGGAGTTTCTCTGGCAATAAAATACCCCTGCCTTCCAGGAGGCCTAGTGCTGTCACTCATTGGGAAAGAAGGTGATAAGGAAAAATACATAAGTCCAAGGTGGAGAGGATGAGTTAAAACATCCTCCATCTCTAGGTTTCAAGATTAAAGAAGCATAGTTTTGTCTCTAGCCTTTACTATAGAGGATGATTCAATTAGTATCTGTATATATCTATCTTTCTGTTTATCTCTCTCTATATATATATATATATATATTACTATATACTCAGCTGGCCTTGTACACACAGTGTAGCCCAGGATAACCTTGAACTCATGATCCTTCTGCATCTGCCTCTCAAATGATGGAATTATAGGCAATATGCCACCATGTCCAGCCAAATTCTTGCATTTTTTTTAAAAGTTTTGCTTCTATTTGCAATGATATGTATAGATGTGTCAATGTGTGAGAATGTTCACATGTGAGTGCAACTACCCAAGGAATCCAGAAGAGGGTAGCAGGTCCCCCAGAGCTGAGTTACAGGCCAGTGGGAGTCATTCACTATGGCTACTAGGAACCCCAATTGGGTCCTCTGCAAGAGCAGTATGTATTTTGTCTCTCCAGCCCTAAGTCTCTGCATCTTAATGATCCAAATCCATCATGCACTGAGGGATTTGAGCAGATGAGAGTCACTGATGAAGGAGATTATGGAAGCAGTTGAGGACTATGTGATTTCACCTCGGCTCCTGTGCCATTGTGCCATTTTTAAACAGAGAAGCCGTGTAAGTATAGAAAAAGATTCCAGGCTTACATGGACAAACATTGCTACATAATGGGTAAACGACTTTTCAAAGCAGTTTAGCCAAAACAGCTGGCCTAGCAGCGACAAAGCCCACAGATCGCATAGGAAACTTACACTGCTCTTGCTATATTGTCATTGAATTTAATCCCAATTTCACATAAATGATGATGTCTTGCAGATATTTCTCTAATATATTTTCTGATGGGTTCTAGCTGCAAACAGAAAACAACTCATCAAGGAAATGTGATAGTAACATAAAATGTTAATGGCATCATTAGGAAAAGATAGAAAATTAAACCTCAATCGCCTCAACATTAGAAAGTCTTCAACGGACTGACTGAAAAGGAGCTAAGTGCAAAGAAATAACAGGGCAAAGCTTTCACAAAAAATAACATCTCACTTCCCCAGTTACTGCTTAACTCAAAATGTCCTAAACAAACTAATATCTAGAAAGCTACCAAGATAGACTCAAAAACTGCCTTACAGATGTACTTTCTTTTAGCCAAGTCATTAACCATTTTTTCTTGGAAGTGTTACAAACTGCTTAGCTGAAAGAGATGCTTCAAATCTGCAATACAATTCTTTACCTCCAAATGCTTGTTTTCTGTAACCCCAGATTTCTACTTTTTAAACTATCACAAGCAAATTTTTCTAGGTAAATAAAAGCCCAATTATGGTAAAAGAATCATATTCATGTTTTTTATGATGACAAACTTTAAAGGAAATAAGACGGTACAAGAGTAGATTAACTGTTAAGTAACAGCATATTGTTTTGAGAACATTTATATTTGTAATGAAAATAGATGTATTTAATTAAATGTCTAATCAAAATTTTCTCGGAAGGAACACAACAATGTACGAAATTAAAATCTCAAAAGAAAAACCAGTAGGAGGAAATACATAAAATTAACATATTTGTCTGGTAAAAATGTAAGAAAAATCTTTAAGTTTCAGGATAGCTATATCTCCAATTAAGACAAATTGGGACTGAAGAGATGGCTCAGTGACTAAGAGCACTTGTTACTCTTGCTAAGTGTCTGGGTTCTCCATTCTCAGGGGATCTGAAGCCTTCTTTTAGTTTCTTCAGGCACAGCATGCAAGTAATGCTAGACAAACATGCAGTCAAAACACCTACACACATAGAATAAATAAATGAATAAAGAAAACAAAAGCATTAATTGACTGCATATTGCTTGTTTATTATAATGATATTTTCAAGAAAAATCAGAGAATGTATATAAGCATGATCTTCAAGTAAAAACCCTAGTATAATCAGAATAATTTGTTCACTAAGTGATGCTCAATGCTAATTAATAATAGGTTATAGTTAACTGTGAATTCCTTTGGTTATTATCCCTTCTGTTGCATCACATTCATTGAAAATGGAATACAAGTCAGTTTGCCTGTTTTCATGAGGGTCACTGAGGCTTCATTGTGCTCTGATCACAGACAAAATTAATATGCAATATGACTGATTGCATGATTTTCTCCCAGGACAGAACAAGAGCCATTTAAAACACTGTGAACATCACAGTGGGAAACCTCTTAGCTAACTTACTGCATCTGCTTATATTTAACACCATAGGGGCATATTGCACATTTATGAAGATTTCTTAGTGAAGAAACTGAATGTGAAGAAAACATCGTGACTTAAAAGGATGGTGTACATGCAAGTTATTCACAGCAAACATTTTGGTGGGGAATTATAGACAATGAGACAAACATGAGAGCATAACCATTGGCTTTCAGGCTGTAATTAAAATGAAAACAATGGGGAATGGAAGTGTCTGCCTTTTCTCAGGATAACTGAGAATCGGCTTCTGAAGGAACCAGAATCCTCCAGAATAAGAATTAAACAAATAGCTTTAATGAAGATAGTTGCAATCATGAGTTCTTAACCTATGGCAGAGTTTCTTCAAATATACTATTTTAATATACATGGAAAGGCCAGGTCTGAGAAAGAGATGAAATTCTATTACTTTTAGAGAAAATTAGATGATTTCTTATGAAGACATCAAGAGAAAACTGCCAAAGTTAGCCTTAAGTTATTCATCATAATGATTATCAAAATATTGTTAGTTTTCAGCATGGCACATAGAAAATCTGCCTGATGCCCTCTATAATGTGAGTCTGTTCATGTTCAGAACTTTCTAATGTTTAGAACTTTTATTGAGCACACAAAAAACCACTTTTATCCTAGAACCAATCACTGGTATACATCTACCCAATGATAGTCAGAAGGCTAAAACATCTCCTGTCCCATGCTTTTCTAACAAGAGACTGATCACCATTATCCCACCAAGAAGTAAAGTCTATGTACAGTTCTTTTCCAGCTGATGAGGGCTTATGGTGTTTCAAGCAGGAGAACATGACAGAAATAACTTCTGAGGCTAGATTACAAATGGCTGCACAGCCTCCTCCTTGTATACTAGAAGAATCCTTTCTTAAGCCTTTGGCTACACATAAGCAATCCTATTGCCCCCTGGTCATCAATGCTATGGAAGAGTCCAAACTAGCCCAGGTAAGAACACTAAATGCACACACTCGAGATTGTACATGAAGAGAAGAGATAATGCAGCACTGCCCAGGGGCTCCAGCTCCTCCTGAATCCTAGGTTCAGATGTTTTTTGCAATTACCTGAAAGTTCATGAGCCAGAAACTCTCAGACGATCTACTTTCTAGGTTCCTGATTCATAGTCACTAATGGTAATAAAATAATGATTATGATTTTACATCTCCAAAATCTGGGTTGTTCTGCTTAGATATTTATATTCAAGTTTGTCATGCTTCTGCGTTTCAGAACCCATGCCTTCCTTTTTTAAATGAATTCTATTTACTAGGTCTGGAGAAGAGGTGTGAGGTGACATTATACTGCTGGTCGACAACCCACAGTTTCCATAACAAAGTCCTAGATGACAACTAAGCTATATATACAATACCTTTGCCTGCAGGCACTCTGTTTTATCTGTTTTATTTTCCTCTTGACAACACAACCGAACAGCTGTTTCATAGCAAGCAGACATGGTCAAGATAGTGGGTCCATATAAGAATGGGTGCCTTCTAGAAATTTCATACCTGTACCTGAAATTTACAATTGCAAGATGTATGGTTTAGAATTCAGGCACATACACCAATGACATTTCTCATAAACAGTATTTATTCATTTTTAATCTATCTGAAACTTCTGGAAATTCTGGTAATTGAGATTTGGTAGCACTTTGCCCAAAATTATCAAATGTTCACTATGAACAGATCAGCAGGGTCATTTCCTGGATGCCCACAAAGTGACTTCAACAGGTGGATTAAGCATAATCAGAAATGAAATCACCACACTTTCTTCAAGAGACAGAGAGGCAGAAAGTTGAGCAGACTAAGCAGCACTGTAATGTAGGATTGTTTGGTTCAGGGATTGACGATGGTCAGAAGTCTCTCAATGTCATCCAGAAGTTCTTTCTAGACTAACAAAATCAATATTATTGTCCTCTAAGACTTGTCATTTAGTATTTTTATTTGTCACTAAATTCCCTGGAATTATTTCTCACACTGGGCTGTGGAACTTGTTCAAGAACAGACTCATGCATATATGAATATGCACTCAGCACAACTCAACACTACAGACCAAACCAGCATGTTCCCACAAATCCATTTTCTTTTTCTGTGTACTTAGGAAGACTACTTTCCCTGCCTCTGTAGTGAAGCTGGCAGCTATGATCAATTAGATATTGATGGACATGCTGCACCTCACTTCTTAGGCTTGGCCATTTATTTCTTTGCTAAACTCGGAATCCTCTTTCTTTTATAAACACATGTTCCTGATGGTGTAGCCCAATGTAGAGGCATGTGAGATTCAGGTACTCATTAGACAAGAATTGTCAGGATTTGAACTGATCTGGGAAAAACTGAACTGGCAGATGTCAAAATAGACAAGTAGGACTGCAAGCCAAGATGAAAGTCACAATTACACCATAGGTAACTATTTACTAGGATCATAAAGGGGTGAGCTAAAGGAAGAATGCTGAATTTCCTGTTCTATTGTCTCCCCCAATGATCTGGCCAGTTGAAGACCATAGGAATGAACCTAGGGTTCAGCAGGATTGCTCAGTGAGTAAAGGTGGTTTCCATGCTACTTAGTGACCAGAGTTTGATACCTGGAACATATGTGAAGGGAGAAGAGAAATGGTCCCATAAAGTTATTCTTTTACACCCGCCCCACAAAAATGCACATGTTTGTGCATGGTAACTTTTTACTCAGTAAGGAATGACCACAGATAGTGAATCTGCCCATTCCTGAGGAACCCTCGGGAAAAGCTCCTGCAGTTTCACGGATATGGAGCAAAGATTAAGAAGAGCTAATGGGACTAGAGCAGGAAGGGCCTGTGCTAGAAATCCTGGTAAGCAGGTCTCTAAGAACAGGCACTTCAGCAAGAACTACAGCTCTGTTTGGGAGCACGGTGTCCCGGGGACCTAAGTCCCTGACAATGTCCTTCAGTATACTGGTTGTGCTCCTCAATTGCTATGGGGATGTTTGGGGGTTGCCTGAAGCTTGTAGTAAGTGACAACATGTGTAACATTTGATACATGAATAGCCACATTCATATTTCATCCTTAATGCCAGGCATATTGGAACTTGCCTGACACATGATCCTTTAGTGTTTTCTAACTAAGAGTATGAGGGCACATAATTCCTCCACAAAGCTTTAGAAATCTCTGAGGGTAGGTTTGCTCCTGTAAGGATGGATTAATGAAGTTTGGGTTCCTCTATTTTGTCTAGTCTCCTTGTTTATCCCTGACCTAGACTAACATGAGTAAAATCTATTATCAATCCACCACCAAGTTCCCAAACTCTAGGTCCAGCAGTCATCTCTTGTCAGTGACTGACTCAAGTAATACAGACACAGCCATGCTCTGTGAGAGTCACAGTCTTGTGTTCTCCTTGTCTTGTTAACACCTGACTCGCATGAGCTGCAACTCCATGCTAATTAGCATTCCAGACTTGAACTTGGTAATGCTCCAGTGCTATCCCTTGCCCCAGGATTACACGGTCCATTTTCAGTGGAAAATTCACCTCTGCTTGTTTCTAGGCTCAAATGACAGACCCTATCTCACACCTGTCAGATGCTCTGCCCGCTATCTACTGGTGCTTCTCCCAAGGACTGTGCACTGTTGCTGGCCTGTCTCCAGGGCTCTCTGCTTGTTATGGTTTTCCTAGGTGATTGCCTAGTCATCTGGTCACTTGGTTGCACATGGAGAGATAGATACGGTGCCTTGTGAATCCCCTCCTATTCCAAGCACTGAAGCAGTCTTTATTCGTATGTTTCCAAAAAAGGATTCACACAGTGGCACTGGCAAGAATCTGGCAGCCAAGGTCGCATCTGCAGGTAAGGGAGAAGAAGCCCAGGCGTGTCTCCACAGAAGAAGGTGGCCCAAGCCAAGCTGTACAGGCAAAGGACACACCTGGAATCTGAACTTACTTCTTAGTCTACCATTTCTCCTCCCTTCCACCATCTCTGGGGTGTCCTGCGATGGTCCCTTCCTGGACCAGGTAGTGGCCTGCTTAGAGGCCACACTCACCTCCAGTGTAATCTGTGACAATCTGATGCTTTACATGGGAAACTATCCACTTTGCTCAAATGTTCCCTAGGGGAAAGGACAAGCTGCCTTCCTTTCTGGAATTCCTCACAGGGAGCAGGTGGGCCTTGTGGGAGCCAGCTGGAACCTGCCTGGAGTGGCTTTACCACCTTCTCAGAGCCTTGTCCCTCCTCTTATCTAGCCAGGTTGGCTGCTTGGTGCACAGTCACAGACCCTCTTATTTGCCTTCCTCGGTGTTACAAGCTGTTTTAGCCCCAGCATTTGCTTAGTGCTAGCATTGTTTCTCCCCTCAGTACGTGGAATATCTGCTGGTCTTCCTAAACAGGGAGGTGAGCAATGTACAAGGCCTAGTCATTTCTAATCTTCCACAGCAAACCTTCCCAGGTCCTATTGGCCCAATAGGATGCTAATTGCCATTCTCTTTAGAAGAAAAAAAAGTATCATAGGTCATTTCCATTTTAATTCTTTGTAATAAAACATAAGTTTTCAGACAATTTTATGTGCAAAAAGGGTCTTAAAAATTGGAAAATATTCTTCTTAAAAGACCATGTCAAAATGAAGTGACTTACCTTGCCTTCAGCAACATGTGACTTCCTGCATCCATCTCACAGGTCAGCTCAGGTCCTGGAATCAGGGGTGTATCAATGTCATCTTCATGATCTTTCTTATAGGACAGGAAGCACTTGAGTCTTGTTGTGTTTTCCATCTTACAACAGTTAGTGGACACATCACTGCCCACCAGCCCTTGGTTGTTGCAAATATGTGTGAGGAAGGTAGCCATCTACAGGAGGAAGGGTGACATGCAGTGGAAGATAGGAGACCAACACTCCCCACCATGGGAAAGTTAACCAGGACACAAGATGCAGAGCCTTGAGTCCAATAATCACTGGACACAGAGATTTCAATTTTATTTCCCTATTTGTTCTGTGTGTACATGTGTATTCATACACATGTAAGTATGTACATGTGTGTGTACACAAGCATATGGACAGGCAAAGTCCAATGCTGGCTCATCACTCTCCATCTTAATTCTAAGACAAGGTCTTTCATTGAACCCACAGCTATACTGACCCATCAGCCATCTCTGGGGATGTGCCTGTCTCTGGTCCCCACTACTGGTACTGTGGTAACACACAGCTGTGCCTCGCTTAACATGGCTACTAGGATAAGCACCTAGATCTTCATATGTATACAAGTATTTTACCAACTGAACTATCATGCCAGCCCCCAGGCATACTTTATAAGTAAAATCTTCTAGGTAGTTTTTACACTCATTCATCTATTATATATGGTGAGGGTTATGAGCCTTGGATCAGGTATGGAGGTCAAAGGGCCAACTGAGAGGGCTGATTTTCTCCCCCCATCTTATGGGTTCTCGGTATCAGACTCAGGTTGTCCGGACTGGCGGCTAGTACTTTTACTAAGCCACCTGTCCAGCTCCTTTTAGGTTTTTAAATCTGAATCCACACATGATGCTTGTTGACCAGAGAGAATTTCCCCTTCCCTATGACGTTGCTTCATTCTCAAGCAATTGACAGGTTTTTGAAAAATAATTAGATATCCTTCAGAATTTCCAGAGCAAGATATTCTTAATGAGAACTCTCTGTTCCCACCCCCCCAAAAGCTACTAATTTGCTTATTTTCTACTCGTTTTGTTACTTTTGTTTCCATGGGAACACATTTTAAGACTTGAACTTTGAGTCAATGCTTGTTCGTTGTCAACTATCCAACTGAAAATGTAATCATTTCAATGTTTTCAAATGTTTTTATGTAGCAGTAAATGTGTGGAGTTTGGTAAGCCTCAACTGGCATGTGTGTTCCTATTTGAGGAATAAGTCCAGAAAAAGTCATTTTTGAAGCAGAAATAAAAAGGGATTGCTCTAAAATGAGTATAGCCACTGGCAAAATCTTCATTTAAAATGTGGATTGTTGACATTCCTTCATATTCAGAGTCTAAAACACTGTTCACAGGCATTAGCTCCAAGAGATAAATCAGGGAACTCAACAAATAAAGAAGAAAAGTTAAAGTTACTTCTCATTTATATGTTGCATTATTTAGCCCGAAAAATAACTATTCCTGAAACTCTTTATTCTAACAGAATGTTAGTATTAATTAAGAATTCCTCTGGGGGGCTATGATGGTTCATGGCTGAAGGTACTTGTTGCCAGGTCTCATGACCTGAGTTCAATCCCTGGGACCCACACAGTCAAAGGAGAGAAATAACTCCCAGAAGTTGTCTTCTGACCTCTGTGTATGTCACACACACACAAATACATATAATTATATATATATATAATTTAAAAACTAAAAAAAATGTCCCCAGGAAATTCCTATTTTATTGAAATTGCTGGTCACAAGACAAATAGAGTTTTTAAATGAGACAATAATAATGTCCCTTATTTTCTGCTAACTGAGAAAAGGATCTGTAAAAATATTGTTTTTCTCATATTCTTAAAGAAATCTTTTTTAATGAATTTTCATTTTAATTCAGTTTCCCCAGAGTTCTTTATGTGAAGACGTCAGACAGCAGCATTCTGGTGACTCAGGCAGAGCAGCCCACATCCTCAGGAATGTGACTCATTCCCTTGAGTGTTTGGCCCTCAGAACCTGTGCTCCCAGAGAGAAACTGGTTAAATGTAGGCTTAGAAGTCCACAAAGATTATATCTGGCATGTGAGTCATACACATACTCTTGCTGTGCCATGTCCTACATCATTATTCAAGCAGTCCTGTTTATAGCGACATCTTCTGTTTATCATCTGGCTAAGGCAGGAGAATAAATAGACACGTGAGCCACCTACCAGTTGGTGAACACACTCTGCAGGTAACTCATGTGATCTGAGAACCTTACAGTTTTCAGCAAGATCCAGCAGCTCTTCAGCTACGGTTTGGACTTCTTCATAAGCTGCATCCTGAAGAAACTGAGCAACCATAATGCTGGCACTGAAACACAAGATCTGTGTGTGGAATACCCAAGGACTTGGTCCCTTCTTTCTTTATTGTATCTCCCTATTCTCCCCAAAGTGATTCCCATACCAATTTCAGACAAAAGGATGTTGATAACCAAACTCACGCATCTCTTAGGTTCTCCTCCATATAATCCCGACGGGTACTATGCTGCCTGGCTGGAAAAAAAAAACAGTCTTGCTTGGTGCTGTGATGTGGGTGCATTGACACCCCTGACTTTCATGTGTTGAAATCCAAACCTAAGGTAAGAACTTGTAATTGTCATAAGGGTGGAACTCTCATCCATGGAGTCAGTGTCCTTATAATAGAGGCCCATGAGAGCTCATTCGTCCCTCCTACCATACGCAAGCAAAGCAAGAAGACATCACACATGGGCAAGAAAGAAGGTGTGTACAAGGCACCAAATATGAGAAACTTCACCAGATACTGAATCTGCTAGCACTTGATCCTGGACTTTCCAGCCTCGGGCAGGTACTGTGTGAACTCTGATGTATATTAACGATCACCCCCCTGCCCGCACCTTGTGGTATTTTGAACTAAGACATTCGAGAAGCAGGAAATTTCCCAGATTGAAAACCCCCTTTAAATTCTACAATCTATGTTATTCACTCACAAATTTATAGGTTTATTTTCAATAGTTGTAGTGATAAGAACAACATGACAGTATATACCTTCCTTTGAATTTAAACTGTCTTCTGTCAATGGTTTTTAAAAAAATATACAAATGTAGCCCAACTCTATCATTGATTACATGCAAATTACATGTAGTTCAATTCAAAGTTCTGAATTAGGGCCTGGGGAAATGGCTCTGCTGGTAAAATTCTTGCCTTTTAAGTACAAAACCTGAATTCAATCCTCAAAACCCACTTTTAAAAAAAGAGCTAGTAATGGTGGTGCAGGCTGGTAATTCCAGCTCTGATGAGGCAGAGACAACTGGGTTCCTGGAGCTCGCAAGCTAGAGGCCAATTCTACCTGGCAAACTCTGAGCCAGTCAAAAACCAAATGAAACAAAATGACACCCGTAGACATTTTAACATGAGAGGGGGGTAAGCCCATGAGGTCATAACCCTAGATAAAGGAATGCTGAGAACAAGAGAAATAGTCTTCCTCAGTGAAGCACACACCAATTGGTTATCCAATACCGTATGGTCAGCCCTGAAGACATACACATTATACTGACTGAGCAGTATATTTACACACACACACACACACACACACACACACACACACACACACAGTCTTAGAGAAAAAGAGGTCATGAATTTGAAGGAAAGTGAGTGGAATCACACGGGGGGGGCGGTTGGAATGAAGAAATGGAATGAGGGAATGATATAGTTGTATTATAATCTCAAAAAATTAAAAGTCAAGATGGGCGGAGTCTGAGGCACACACACGAGATAGTCCTCTGCTCTGCACACACACACAGACACACAATGTTCTGAGTTCTTTAAACTTAATGATATGGTTGAACTCTTCTATTAATACTTCCATTAACAGCTATTAGCACATTCAAAAGTAAATGTAAGCCCTTGGGATCCCAAACATTAACAATGTGTGGGTCTTAATTTGGCAAAGAAAGCGTCTCCCACACTTTGACTTGCTCATCACCGCCGTTTTCATCACCCACCCAGTGTACACATTACAATGGAGCTGTCTTCCCCCTTACACTAAGGCTCTCTAAGGAACTAAGCGGCTTTCTGCTAAGTAAACAATCATTAGCAATTACTATTGCTGCACAAAATAAAGGTTTTAGAGACCGCTCTTCAGATTTCAACTTCTATTTATAAAAAGTAGAAAGTATCTATGTACATACATGCATTTATGTATGAAATAAGTTTTAGTGCTTTGGTTGGATACGAAGATTAAGTGAGGAACTGGGAAAACGACTCAGCCAGGAGAGTGCTTGCTGTATAACCATAAGGATGTGAGTTCAGGTCCCAACAATCTACTTAAAAAGTCCAGCACAGTAGCATGCAGGTGTTATCCCATTGCTGGGGGTGGTAGTGCAGGAGGATCCCTGGAGCTCATTGGTCAGACAGTCTAACCAGTTAGTGAGCTCCAAGTTCAGGGAGAGATCCTGTCTCAAAAAAAAAAAAAAGGCTGAGGAGCAACTGAGGAGAACACCTGATGTCAACCTCCAGCCTCTACATCCATATGCATGTATGTACACAAATACATATGCATAAGAACACACTACATTACTCAACACACACACACACACACACACACACACACACACACACACCATAAATGAAGATTTGTAAAGTCCTGAACATATTGGCTGGTGATAATAGGTACCAAATATTGTAGCTTCTATTATTATTTCTGCAGTCATTCACATTTTTGCTCTATTCAAATTCACTTAGCCAATTTCAAACATTGGTTAAATGTAGCATTCTCTCATCTAGAATGGAAGCAAAGAAGGAAAGCTAAAGTGAGATATTCCCAGATGAGTAGCCTCAATGTAGTAGTGCTTTCTGTAGTCATTCCACACACTAGTGTCTATCAAGTTTCAACAACTCTTTTACAGTGATGACCACTGAGAAAGATGAGCCTTTCCACACACATGTTAGTAATTGTCACGGTTACTCCTCACATCCTTGCTTGTAGGCTACACAGAATGTACATGGATTCCCTACCTGCATGTAGTAAACTTGTTTGAAGAGGCTCACATTTTACGTAGCTGAAGAAAACAATAAGAGATAGAGTTTTAATAATCCCCATTGTTTCAGATGAAGTTCCACCATTTGAGAGAAATGAAGACTTTATGTTCTTTTCAAGCAGTTATAATTAACCATTAACTTTTCGAGTGAATATTCTTTTTCGTAATTCTTCCATGGATTCTCAGAAAGTTGGAGAAATTCGGGACAATGAAGAAATATTGGTGTTCATTAATGAGTACAGGATTCTAAAGCAGATAATGTCGACCTACTATTTGTTCACGATTACAACACACAGGCCTTGTAATAAAAATTGATCAGCGTGTTTGGTAAATGCTAGTCTACAGTATCCCATTTCATAGAAATGCGTGTTTACATGTGCAAAGTTCCAAAGAGGCAACGAGAAAGCAAACATGCATACCCCTGGTCAGGCAAGTGGTCAGAACTCAGGTGTCAATGTTGGGCACAGTTCCAGGATCCTGGAGAGAGGAGCAGAGGGCACAGGCACTGTCAGCAGACACAAAGGCATGGCACCTGTCACTGAGTGCTGACCGTCAGTCTGGACTACCACTCACACAACATTATCATTGCCTGAATGGGAAGTGAAGACTGATTCTTACCATGTGCTCATGGACTCACAGATAACATTTCAGAGCTATCTACCTTTAGAGCCTGCACACCCAAGAGATGCACTGTCTGCTGTCTTTCCAGCACTGCCTGTTTTGCTGTTCATCCAGTTCTTAGGTTGACAGCAAAAGAATGGGTAGCGGATACGTAAAGAGAACGTCTGGGAACATGTGAACTCCAGAATGCCGGAAAGAGGAGATTGCTGGTTGCTACTGCAGATTTTCCTACCTTCTGTTTTCTCATTTACAAAATGTAAACCACTTGCGGATAAAAATTCAGTTTTCTCCAAGGGAGTCTCCATGGGGGAAACAAACTGCTCTTTGTTTGCCCAGCAGTCGACAGTCAACAGGCATGAACTCAATGACATCTTGGGCTGGGGGTGGGGTATGATCCTTGTCTCATAATGCTGTATTATAAGTTTTTAAACATTTTATCCTTTTACTTTTTAATTTTATTTGTATATATTTTCTCTCTCTTTGCCCTTTATGTCCTTTGAGTATATGCCATGGCTTCCAGTTTAGTGTTTTTATGGAATTCCTAGATGTGTGAACTAGTGAGTCTCTATTTCTTGAGCATTTTCTTGAACTCTTTTTCTTCTGTTTATTTGTTTTATCCTATTCTGATGTGTTAGTTTTTGTTTTATCTTACTATTCTTTAAAAGCCTGCTTTTTTCTAATGAGAGATGGAAAGGGAGATGGGGAGAAATTTGGAGGAGTAAAGGGAAGCCATAATCAGAACATATTCTGAAAGAGGGGAAAATGTATATGCTCAATGAAAGAAAAAGAAAAAGAGAAAATCAAAGGTTTATAGTCCATCAGTTGATTCTGCTGCCCACACGTTCCCTTTTCTGGCTTCCTGAAGAGGAACCTGTCCATGTGCATGTACACACACTTGTCACAAAGGATACAGATATTTGCCTGAAAAAGAAAGCCAAAATGGTTATCATTTAGACTTGGATTATACCAGATTAAGAATACGAATGACTCTGAGAAATAGAAAGCCATGGTCAATTTTGGGGTTAGGGAGAAACCTGGTGCCATGGAAACTTCCAGGAATCCACCAGGATGACCCCAGCTAAGACTCCTAACAATAGTGGAGAGAGTGCCTCAACTAGCCATCTACTGTAATCAGATTGGTGACTGCCCTAAATGTTGTCAGAGAGCATTCATCCAGTAACTGATGAAAGCAGGTGCAGAGATCCATGGCCAAGCACTGAGCCAAGTTCTGAGAGTCCTGTTGAAGAGAGAGTGGAAGGACTATAGGAACCAGGGAGGCCAAGGTCATAACAAGGGAACCCACACAGACAACTGACCTGAGTTCCTGGTAGCTTAGTAACTCAGAACCCACAACTAGGGAGCCTGTATGGGACTGAAGTAGGTCTTCTGCATGTGTATGGCAATTGTGTAGCTTGGTCTGTTTGTGGGGCTCCTAGCACTGGGACCAGGACCTGTCCCTGGCACTTGAGCTGGCTTTTGGGAACCCAATCCCCAAGCTGGGTTACCTCACCCACCCTTGATGCAGAGGGAAGAGTTTGATCCTGCCTCTGGGTGATGTGCTATGTTTTGTTGACAACCATGGGAGGCTTGCCCCTTTCTGAGTGGAGATGAAAGAGGAGTGACTGGAAGGGGAGGGGGGGAGCATAGAAGAGACATGAGGGGGGAGGGGACTGGAGGAGAAGAGGAAGAGGAAACTGGTCGGTATGCAAAATAAATGGAAAAAAAGGAAACCATGGTTAACAACGGAAAGCTACTCCTGAGCAGTTGTCACTGCTCTTTTGTGCACCTTCTGAATATTCTTAATGTTCATTCTCCCCTTTTATTTATTTGATTGACTGGTTGGCTTCAGTTTTGGTTTTTGAAACAGTTTTTTGCTAAGTATCCCAGACTGTCCTCAGAAATGTGATCTTCCACCCCAGCCTCACAAGTACTGGGATTATAGGTCTGCAACACTACTCCAAGTTAACTAGCAGCTATCCTTCCATGCATCCTCTGCAGTGTTCCCTTGAGATCCTATTTTGAGCCTCCTGGGTTGATCAGAAAGGGACCTGATAGATGACTGCCAATGCCTTGAATGAAGATACCAGATGCCACCCCATGCAGACATCACTAAGTAATCCTGTGCTCCACCCCAAACCCAGCCTTAGAATTACTCATGGTGCAGCCACATCAACAGATTACTCAGCCACATCAATAGAGCCGAGTTAACACTGGTGGAAGGAGAGAGCAGTACTAAAGTAATCTGCCTTTAAAAAATATCCAAATTTAAGTGGGAGTTCTCCTCTCAGAGATATTTGAATATTGGCAAGAGACTCTTGAAAATATAAAAAGATGCTGTCATCTTCTATCAGTGACTAATGTATTATTCAGACCATAGGAAGTACAAGCAGTGAGGATTATTTAAACAGCAGTAAAGGGATAGGTTTATGATATAATTAATTCTGGATAATTTTCCAGAAAAAACAATTTAAAAAACTTTTTCATGCTGGCCTTTGAGAATAAGAAAAAGGAAGATATCCAAATCAAAAAATTATGATTTCAGGTTTTGTTTGCTTGCTTGCTGGAGACAGGGTCTTGCTATCTACCTGTCTGGAGACTCAACTTTCTTGCCTCAGACTCCTGAGTGAGAGCTGGGCTTATAGGCATCTCTACCATACTCACCACTGAAGACTGTTTAATAAATAGCACCTTCACAGAAAACTGAATAATCAAACCTTGCCCACACTGTAGAAACAGAGTTCAAAAAGACAAAGACCAGGTGCCAAAACCACCACAGCAAACAACGCCCCTTGCTAGTGAGCATGAGTGCCCACAAGGCTCACTGTCCTGACAAGCACCTCTATAATGCTGTAGAACTCTTCCTGCATCGAGTGCAAGTGTGTTCTACTCAGCACACAAGTCCTGTGTCGGTACTCAGAGTAAGTTTGAAGTTCCCTCACTCCAAATCCTCTCTTCTCCAAGAAAAGGGAAACTACATCTCAAAAGTGGACCACTCTGCATCCTACTACTTCCCTGAGCTTTTAGTGTGTTCTCTGACATAGCAGCACTCTCCACTGGTGTGACAACATCCTCTGTGACAGAAGTCTGCATGGTGGCAGCACTTTCCAGAACTCAAGTTTTACATCTGCTGCCTGCAGCAGAGTCTTGATCCCCATATTAGGCATAGAGTCGAACTACCAATTGTGTCTGCTTCACTCCTGTTTATAAGCTGTTACCTATTGTTTAAATTAAACTTCCTCATTATGCTCATTGATAAATAAAGAACAGAAAAGTTTTATAAATTACTTATAAATTCAGTGCTATCATCTGGTGGCCAATGTACTTGGTAATTTAATATAGTAATGGAGTTCATTTCTTCCTAATATGGTAGCATACCACACACACACACACACGCACACACACACACACACACACACACACACACACACACACACACACCCCAATAAGTCTACAAAGTTACAGAATCTAAAGCCTTATGTCAAGTTCACAGCAATAGGAATTTGAAACTCCTCCATCACACACACATCTTCAACCATCACAGTGCTCTGGCAAATGGGGAGGGCCTTTTCTCACCCATCCATCTTTTACAGCCTCAGTGCCTGCTTGTCTTTTATCTTCTTCTACCCAGAAAGATGCAAGAGCTGCCTCTGTCTGGCTCACACTCACATCCACTGTGTCTGGCACACAGCAAGGATCTAATGGTTATTTTTGGATAAATGAGTGAGATTCTGAAAGTCTATGTTTGAAACGCTATGCCAGAATACCTCAAGGAACGCCGTCACGGGTTACTTGTCAAAGGATCATCTCCTCTGAGGGCAGACATGGGGCACTAGCTTTGAAGTCAGAGGAGTCAGAACTGTGAAACTCAGAACACTCAGGCATTTCTGCTAAACATTTACAGCTCTGGCAGACTAGGACTTTTGGTGTGGAACACAGAGAAAACCCTCTCACCACTTCTGACATTGTAAACATTCCTCGGGCTCTCTGCATATAAGATTACAAAAACATTTCTTAATGTATACTTTATTGCATGTGTTTACATATGTGTATGGGGACATGTGTATGGGGGTCAAGGAACAACTTGTGGGAGTTTATTCTCTTCCTCCATCATCTGTGTCCCAGGGATTGAACTCAGGTCATTAGGCTTTTACCCATGGAGTCATCGTGCCATCCCAAATAAAAGATTCCTAATACACACCACATGGCTGAACTCATGAAGTGATATTCACAGTGTTGTTCAGAAGACACAAGCTTTGGTTCTTTTTTTCACTGACTAGTTGTATATCATTGAGCAAATTAGTTACTCTCCCCAAACCTCAGGCCTCTGCAAAATGGGAATGAAAATATGTACTCTGAGAACTATTCGAACTAAATGGGATAATTAACATAAAGCACTTGGAGCAGTGTTTGGTACATCTCATAGAGGCTGGCTGTGAGTGGT